GGTGAGATCTTAAACAAGGATTTGGACCTCTCACGAGGTAAGAGGTAGCAAACTTAAGAGAAATCCTTCCACTGGCTTTGAAGATGCAAGGAGAGGGAGTTTGGGGCTAGAAACTGGCACAGAAGTTGTCAAGACGCCTGGATGGTGAGGCAGGATGCAAGAACCTTGGTCCGATTAGGAAACGGCGTTCCTGGGCAGCATCACCTCACCTACGGACCGGAGAGAGAGGTAACAGGGGTCACTAAAACCACGATTCTTGATCAATTCCTATGACACAATTAGAACCTTAGAATGCAATCCACCTTCCAGTCACCGTTAATCAGGGGCACAAGAGATAGTCCAGCACTCAAGGCACTTGTTTTGCATGTGGATGACCCAGTTTTGATCGCCAGAACCCCTGCTGGCTTGCCAGGTGATCCCTGAGCACAGAGCCGTGAGGACTCCCGAGGGTGCAGTCCCCCAAAAAGCAGAACACCCTAACACTGCTAAGCAAAGAGTATAGCCAGACAGGAGTTTTAAGGTAAGAGAATATTAGCATTTCTGTCCCGTGTCCTCTCCTAAAAGCCCAACGCGGGAGAACTGAAGCAAAGGGTCAAAAGTCAGCTCCATTTTCAATGCAAAGCACACCGTGACCTTCCTAGCAGCCCTCAGAGGGAGGCTAAACCAGGCCTGGACCGAAAGGTAGGCTGACTTCAGAGTCAGAGCCACACAAATGTTATGTGCTGAAAAGTAGGCAACAAACGGGATGAGGACTAGAGGACCACCTGGCTGAGTTGTGCACAGGTTGTCAGACCACAGATTCTCAGCTCTGCGCTAGGTAGACATGGTGACAGCAGGCAAAAGGAAGGGAGCAGGGGTGCTCTCCAAGATCTGAGGACTAGGAAGTGGAGGAGATGGCCCGGCCCCTGCTCTTATTAACCAAGATACGGAAAAGGGCAATTTGGCCCAAGCCGGAAGTGGACGGTCCTCTGGAAAAACAGATTCTTTTATGTCTGTAGATACTGGCCAAGTGAACTGGACCTCCCCCGTGCTGCTGGGTTGTCTTGAGTTTAACAAACACCACCGCCAACCAGAATACCGAACTCATTCAATGCTTCTGGAAGTGGTGTGTCAACAGGAAGAAACCTTCCAAAGAGAACAGGAGACCAAAGCCAGTCAAAGGTGATTTTAAAAGGCTCTAAGGGTAATCACGTAAAACAAACATTTGTTAAAAATACAAAGAGATTTCACCTCCAATCAACTGAGACTAGCACTAATCATAAAAAAAAAAAAAAAAAAACACCAGGGGTGCTAATCCAGTCCAGTGAGAATGTCAATGGGAAACAATATGGTCACTTCTCAGAAAACCAGGACTGAACTTTCCAGGACTCAGGGACTCTAGTAATTTATATTGACCCCAGGAGCCCCCAGATATTATTGTAAAACCATCTTTGCGTCCCTGTGTACATTGCAGCATTGTTCACAATAGTTAAGGTCTAAGTGTCTAAGAAGAGATGATGGGAGAGAGCCTAGAGTATATACACACACACACACACACAGTGGAAAACTACATGGCTATAAGAAACAAAGAAGGGGCTGGCGCCATAGTAGCAGGCGTTTGCCTGGCACGTGGCCGGCGCAGGTTCAATCCCCAGCATCCCATATGGTCCCCTGAGTACCGCCAGGAGTGATGCCTGAGTGCATGAGCCAGGAGTAACCCCTGTGCATCGCCAGGTATGACCCCCCCAAAAAAACACACACACACAAAAAAAAGAACAAAAGAAACAAAGAAATCATGCAATTTGCTGCTACAAGGACAGAGCTAAAGAGAACTATGCTGGGTGAAGTCAGTTGGGAAGGAGAACAGACATGGAATGATCTCTCTCCGGTGTGGGACATAAAGGAAATCTGTAGCACTGTCCTCCCATTGTTCATCGATTTGCTCGAGCGGGCCCAGTAATGTCTCCACTGTGAGACTTGTTGTTACTGTGTCTGGCATATCGAATACGTCACGGGGAGCTTGCCAGGCTCTGCCATGCGGGCGAGATACTCTCGGTAGCTTGCCGGGCTCTCCGAGAGGGGCGGAGGAATCGAACTCGGGTCAGCCAGGTTGGCCTTGTGAGAGGCAAACACCCTCCCAACTGTGCTATCACTCCAGCCCATAAAGGAACAAAGGAGGGATTAACAGATGCCAGGGAGCAGCACTTGAGAGGTGGGGCAGAGAAGTGAGCGTAACAACAGTGAGCAGTGAGGAGCAGGGGTGGATGCGGGGGGGGGGGGGGGGGGGGGGGGGGGTGGGGCCCTGGACTAGCGGGAGGAAGTGGACACACTGGTGGAGGGTGTGGTGTGGAAAGCTGTTTGCATGAACCTATTGTGAATGGTATTGTAAATCACAGTGCCTCAAATTGAAAAAATAAAAATGGTTCCACTGAAAACATATAAACCACAGTAAGAAAGGTGAGATGGTGGAGATCCAAGTGGAGACAGATTTCCACATATCACACACGGAAACATGCAGAATGAGACTAGCCTCGCAGTGGGCAGGTCTGGTGAGACACTAGAGGACCAGAGCCCCGAGTTCAATCCTTGGCATAGCATGTCATGCCCACCACTCCCCACACGGAGGGGTATAGCCCTGAGGACTGCCAGCACTGAGAGACCAGACCTGGAACCATCAGGCCCTCACAGCTGGGCTGTCAGAAGCCAGCCCCCCCACATAAGAATATGATTCAAGAAATCAAAGTGTTCCCAGAAGGCAGCGAAAATAAAACATTCCAAAATATTTCAGAAAATATATTACAACATGACACAATGTCACTTTAGGGCTGGGGGGATTGCTCAAGAAGCTGAGAGGTGTGTGTGTGTGTGTGTGTGTGTGTGTGTGTGTGTGTGGCTTGAAGTTCATCCTGAGTACCTCATGGTTCCCCGCCAAGTACCAGAGAGGGAGCCCCAATCAGGAAGCCAGGAGGAGCCCATGAGGACTGCCGTGTGTGTGGTCCCAATTTTTTAAAATGAATACACAAAAAAAGATGTCACCTTGAGATGAAAACCTCATCCCCAGAGAATATCCCAAACGGTTTGAGAGAGTGGCACTGGGGCACACGTGGAACAAGGATGGTCTTTTCCCTGGGTGTGAACAGAATGTGGGGACCGAGAAGGGGCTTTTGGGTGCTCAGGGAGGGAGCTGAAGGAAGCACGAGGTGGTGACGCCTGAAGTCTGAGCAAGCTGTGACTCAATGAAGAGAACAGAGACATTTCATTAAAATAAAGTCTCAAAACCTTGACCTCCCTTAGGCTCTTCCCAAGGAAGGATGTGGCTGAGGATGTGGCCCCCCCAGCAAAAGAGATCAGAAAAGGTAGGGAGTTCACGGAAGGGGGCTAGCTGGGAGGGCCAGGCAGACCGGAGCCATCCTCTAGCCTGGGACGGCCAGGCAGAAATGCTGGGATAGCAGGGCAGCCACGAAACCAGATCTGACCACGGTCCCAGGGGCCTTTTCCAACTCACTGTGAGCCCACACTGCACTCTCCTACTCAGCAGCCCCGGGCCTGGGGCCCTTTTCTATCAACGACTCTGCTTGGGAAGTTCATTCCCCTCGGGATCCACGAGCAATTCTCCCCGCGCTAAGGCAGGATTCGATGGGAATGCCCGTCTGAGGCCTTCATTTTCTCAAACTTCAACCTCTCTCATCCTCATTCTTTCACAAATACCCACACCTTTACTTTGTCCTCATCACTCCACACACTGCCTATTTACACAACTCACTGCCCTTCACAGTAAAGTCCAGAAGGTGGGAGGATCTTGTCTACTCAGGTAGAACGACAACAAAAGAATGAGTGATCCAGGAAAGAAGACATTCTTTCATTTATTCAGAAGTCTTTTCTGAATAAATGAAAGTCACAACATTTTTGACGCAAGTGAAATAAAAACATGATGGCTGAGGAAAAGGTTTCAAAGGAAACAAAAATAAACATCAGATACTACTTAGTTCATGAATAGTGAGATCAAAAAATAAAACTGGAATGAATAAATTCACTCACTGCATTCACTGAATCTGACAATCATAAAAGTGACAGGACAAGAACAGAACTGGGGGTTTGTGGGCTATGTCGCCTTCTGCTAACATCACACTGAGTCAACCGGCAAATCTTAAAAATTAGAAATTTCATGAAATATATGCACTTAAAATACAAAAGAAAAAAATGAGAACAGCTAAAACTGTATTTATAGCAGGTTGCATACATTCGCTGAGTTTTCTTGTATGTATTTGATACTCCTTTAATATTTAAAATATACTACGCATATATGTATAAATATAATTTGATAAAAGAGGACTCTACTTATGGGGAACAGGTATCTTTCCAAAGTTCTGAGAATTCTTGACTCTCTGCAATTCATATCACAGTGACTGGCACAGAGCAGGTACTAAATATATAAATATTTGTTGAATAGGTAGATGGATGGACATCGGCTGTGTAAACACACATGGAAAATAGCTTCTGGATTTCACATTAAATCACACAGAAGTACGATATACTCTTTGACAACAGAAAGATAAAATGCTTCATAAACCTTGCTATAATAAAAGTCATACTTGAAAAACAGAACATTTACATTACAGCCAGAAAGTCGTAAAACTAAAAATGCAGAAAGAAAATTTTCTTGACCTTTTAGTTAGAAAGTATTTATTATATAAAAGTCTCGTTTACCTTAAACCTCTAATTCTGAGCACCATCAAGCAGCCATATACTGCCACCTTGTGGCTACATCTGTAAGCACAGCCTGACTGGCAACTGGAAAGTCTTTTGGTAACAGGAACAGGCCAAACAGAAGCTTAGTAACACCATTTGTACACATGGGAGAGATTCAGTGACACCCCCACGTAGCTTCGAGCATCTTAACCTCAGCTAAAGGAAAAGAGGCCTCACCTGTAAGCAAATAGAAGCTACCTGTATTAAGATGCCTTTTCAATTTAGCAACTGAATCCTGAGCAGGGATATTAAAGACAGAGCAAAAACAGGCGGTAAAGCTAAAGTATTTTATTAATAATTTATTGTCAGTAAGAAAGACTGGCTAATGGTAGTTTTCAGTAAAAACCTTTACAAGACCATCGCATCACAAATATACAGACACTATAAAAACTGTGTCATGGTGGTTTTGGTTCTAAATAGGTATGCAGAAGGTCCCCTTTACACTTTCCAATAATGAAAAATGTTTATAATTCTAAAATACAGCAAACCCATTTAAGACATGTCCATGTATCAGATCTTTCCTCATCCTATATACAGCTGGAAACACGACTATACTGAAATGTATTAATGAAATGTCATAGATCAGTGGAATAGGACATACAATGAATCCCTGGTTATAGTTAAAAAAAAAAAAAGAGAGAGAGAGAGAGAGAGAGAGAAAAAAATCTGGGTGCCAGACAATGACCCTAGCACCACCAAAATCTGGGCAAATACAACAACAACAAAAGCACAAAATATCCCAAATGTCTAATTAAAAACTATGAAAAAGAATCAAAACTGTACATAACATTTACAAAAACCAAAAAAGGACAGGAACATTAAAATAATCAAATCTATATAAATACATGAATCATGCTAACAGGATGGGCGGGACTGATCTTCACTCCATCATTTGAACACGGACACGGGTGAATACGGAGAGTGGAGAAATGGCACAGCCAGCGTGGCTCTCCTCCAAGGACAGCAGCTTAGGACACTGCAGGTGGCTGACAGGTCGAGGGGCATGGGACAGCCAGGCCCAATTTAGCTCACCGGGGCGGGGAAGGCGCGGCGGGGATGCGGCTGGGAACTGCACCGATCCGTGGGCCGCAATCTCGGTTCGGGCGAGTCCAGGCACTTTGGGGGGCGCGAGCGTCAGACTTGTGTATGTTGGTGGGAATCGAGGGGCGGGATCGTCACCTCTTCGAAGTGGCCGTCGTCTCCGCTCTCGTAGTCACTCATCATGACCTCGGACTCCACTTCACAGCACGCTGACACGTCGGAACAGGACGCGGTGGTGGTGTAGATGGACAGGGGGATGTTTTCTACAGGGGGGGCTTCGAAGTTCCTGGGGTACCCTGGCGGGTACGGGGCGTAGGGTTCTCGGCAAGCACTGACCTCCCCAGTGCCTGCTTTCTGAGGGTCCGACAGATCGACCGGATAGAAGTTGGGCAGGTACTGATTCAAGTGCAACCTCTGCCGGCTTCGAGCCGAAGACCCCAAGCTCCCAGCGGCCGGCATGTCTCTGGGCGGGTGGATGGACTCGAACTGGTCACTGAACTCGGGAGGCAGTGGAGGCAGCTCGTCCGGTGCGGGGAAATCTTCCGGCGGGGGCGGAAAATCACTCTCGATGTCGTAGCCTCCCGGATAATAGTCTGTGTCGATGGCGTTGGGGTCTGCTGAGTACAGGGGGGTTTGCTCATCGATGACCTCGTAGTTGGGGAATTCTTGGATGTCTGGCAGAGGGACAGTTGGCATCCAATCCGAAGTATCCCAGTGATATCCTTGATAGGAAAGGAAACAACAGATGTCAGCGTGTTTCCCCAGGGGGCCTGGCGGCCTGGACAGAGCTCAAGGGACAGGGACAGGGGCGTAAAGACGCACCTCAGGAGCTCGGCTCCAGACACCTTCACAGAAACAGATTTGAACAGGGGCCAGGCTAACATCGAAGTCACATGCACGCTTCTACAAACAATTCCTATCGCCCTTTCTATTCTATCAAAAGAGAATTTCAGTCTAGTCTCGGGACACTAAAATAATTTTCTTTTTCTTTTTTTTGATTTTTGGGTCACACCCAGTGATGCTCAGGGGTTACTCCTGGTTCTGCACTCAGGAATTACTCCTGGCAGTGCATGGGAGACCATATGGGATGCTGGGGATTGAACCTGGGTCGGCCACATGCAAGGCAAACGCCCTACCTGCTGTACTATAGCTCTGGTCCTCAGGATAGTAAAATTCTAAGGACTTTTTTTTTTTGGGTCTTTTCAAAAATGGAGAAGCTTCTATTTTTATTCAAGTGAAGAATGTTACTTAGCTTTAAAAATTACAACTGCTTTAATAGTTAACTTGAAAGGAATAGAAGTATTTGCATGCTACATCAAAAAGAATTCCTTTGTAAGAAAGCCATAAACTTAAGAGAACAATCATATGATTTTTCATGAGTCCTCAGTAAAACACCGAATTGCACGAACACCAGATATAGAACTATATACATATACATAGCAGCGCATGCCTCCAAGTCAAGCAGAATGCAAAACACTGAAAAACAAAACCAAAATTTCGATAGACTATGATTTTTGTTATGTCTAGAAGTCTAACAATCATTTTTAGACTACGTGAAGGCATATACATTTTTCTTAAAAACCCTCCCAATTTAGGAAGATCCCGACCCCGCCCCCCCATCAAGATTTTTGAAATCCTTTAACAAACAGGAAAAGGAAAGGCCAAACATGTTTAGAATGCAGTGCACAGACAACTATGTACTTGGTTATTGCAGCATCCAATGAGCAAACACGTGAAGCAAGTTAACATTGGAGCCAAAACGGGACCCGTTTTGTCAAGTGCATATCAATAAATAAAACAACTGGCATGCATAAGTCACCTCTGGATTTGCTGAGGTCAGGAGCAGCCAAAGACTCTTTGGGTGGCAGAGTAGGGAGAAAAGAAAACATTTATAATTAAAACAGATGGCTACGAAGGCAATAAAAGTAAGTACATAATACAACAGAAACTGTTCGTCGAGGCCCCATCAGCCATCTACCATGCCTTGAAGCCATGATGTATGAAGATTCCAAACGGCTGAGGAACTATGGAGCATAACTCAAATGGGTCATGGGGGTGGAGATCAGAAATGAGAGATGGGGAACCAGAGATTGTGCCAGGAATCTCAAACTTGACTTTCTTTGACTTATTGTTGGCACTCTAAAGGGGAATAGTATTTGGGAAGGAATAGTTAAAATCAAAACCATAGGTACTTAGATTAGCAATTTACAAGACAGCTTGATGTCGCTGGAAAAAACTTTTTCCTTGGCAGCCTTAGTTTATCTGGGTGATAATTCTAATACGTCTAAAACCACATCATACATATATACTTTATGGAAGATTTTAGCTTCAGGTCTGATTAAATTGAGGGAACTCGCAAATGAAATGACTTAGAGCGAAAAACAATTTCTCCAAATTTTGTGCGTTTTGAATACAATTTTGTGGTGACCCCTGCCCCCTGCCCGGGGGGGAGGGGAGAAGTGAGGGGAGAGTGAAACAGCTTTATTTAAAGAAATTTACTTGGTGAAATAAGAGGGGAGAGACATGTGCGAGAGAATCCTCGTTGAATATAATTTTGTTTACCTCTCCTTGGGAGACCATGAGCTGCCGCCACTCCTCGTGGCAGCCCGTGTTTTTAGTCACACTAGAACTTTCATTTTCTACAGTGAATTCTAACAGGAAGTCAGAGAACGTGGAAAATGCCCCCCTGCCAGAACCACAAGCCCCATAGGAGGTCTGGGGAAGGACTTCCTCTGGCTTAATCGGCAGGTTCTTATCTTTGAATTGGAGGTAGAAATAGCTGGAGTTATTCTAAGGATTAAATAAAATAAAGGAGGCCAAGCACGGGCTGAGAACTACTGTCATGATTCTTATTTCAGTGAAAGGAAAAAAAAAATCCCAGGACAAAGAAGGTCACTTCAGTGATTTTCTAAACAAGGTCAATGCTTCTGGTACATTCTACGGTGTTCTTCAATGCAACATGATACGGGCATTCAGAACAAATAAGATCTGGATGACAGAAAGTCAGGTCTCATATAAACTAAGTGGAAACCTCAGAAGACAGTGATTGCTCATAAACTTGAGGAAGGCAGTATTTAGTTAACATACATCTATAGAATTTTCTAGAAAGTGTACAAAAATGTAGCAATTCCATAGGGGGATAGGAGGGGGAAGGATGGACATGGAATAGATTTTTTTTTAAATTTTTAATGGCAAGACTGATTCATTTTTCCCTTTTTGGACCTCTAAAGCGACTGTCAGGGTAATTGGGGTCCTTTTGACAGCAATTAGAGGCCACTGGGCTGGAGCTTCAATGCAAGGGCTCAAGGGAGAGATGGAACATACTTTTAAAAATTTGGACTCTCTGATTTATGACAGCAACAGTCACAGTCAGGCAACTACCACCAGACTCAGAGTCCATCCACCACTATCTGTAGACGTAAATCTCAACACTGAGACTAGCGGCTCAAGCTTTAGATTCAATTTACATTTCTTAGAAATGCCAAAAGGCTATTTTCCAATGAAGGAGACGGAAATGGAGTGTTTTAAGTTCTACTTTTATATTCCATCAATTTTTAAAGTATATCTCATCAAAATAAAGTTAAAAGTTACCACACAGAATCCCAGATCCCTCTGACTAGAAACACAGGGTACTGTCCTGGGAAACATGACAGTAAGTCTCATGGCTGGAAGTCTCACCAGGAACTAATACTAACATTTAATCGAAAGTTATTTAAGGGAAGTGGTCAATGTTCTGTCTTCTGACTTTGAATAGAGGGGTTCAACTTCAGAGAAAATGCTCTTCACCAAACCAAATAAGCAACTATACTTTCTATCAGATGCGTTTCCATCAGACTCTGAGAAAATCTAAACGCAAGTTATTTGCTGGTTACTATAAACACTGTTTTTCAGTGTTACTCCTACATAGCATAAAGGACTTCCTATGCTAAAAAAATTTTTTATGAAGTTAGAATGACTCCTTAGTTTTGTGCCATGGAATGACTGTTTCTCACATTTGTGTAAATTCATGATGAATGGCAAAAACAGGAACAAAAAGACACAACATAAACATGTTCTCGGATGATCTGAATGGAGAATATGCAGGCCTGCATGGGGGAAGAGCATGGAACCCCCTCAGGCCACAAACCACGGAGGGGACCTTGACAACGGGCAGAAGCACAGAGCGTGGTGACGTGACTGCAGACACACAGGGCACACGCAGCACGACGGTACCTTCTTTATTCACCGTGTCAACTACAGCATTGACAAGGTGTATTACAGTCACTATGGAAGCTTGGAAAAAGGCACAAAATGCGCAGATTAGGAACATCCTCGGTTAGCAAACACAGCAATAGCTAGGGTTGCCTTATCTGGGTAATTTCTTTCCTCAGAATTTCCAACCAACAATAACATACCTACAAAATATAATCAGGCTTCCCCTCTGTTTAGTCATGTGTCAGATTTTTCTCATTATTTTTATTATTGACCCTGATATAACTATACCTCAGAATTCAGGAAAATTAAAGGTCACGGCATTCCCCCTCTCCTAACCCGGCCTTTAACAGTTCTGGGTCAGGTTGTCACAAAACCATCCTGATTTTAACTTCTCATGGACACATACCTTGAAGAAGGAATGGCCACATTTGCTAGGTCACATTTTGGGGTCCATTTAATAAACTTGCACACACGTTCCCAGAAATAAGAACTTTAAAGAGTTACAGAATAAGTTGAAACATGTGCTATGAACCCTGAAATATTTTTTGTCTTTCTCTTCTTCCCTAAATTTCTTGTCTTTTTTGCAAATGGGCTAATAACATCTGGTAAGCTAACAAACCAGCAGAGAAATGCAGACTGTCTGCCTAGCTGTTTCTTGAATAAATTCCCTTTTCATTTGATCATCAGCATGATTTACAGCACCTCTGCCGAGATGGGAACTTTCCACACAGTGGGCAGAAGATGGCCCTGAAGCTGTTTCCACATCTGACTCCTGGGACGCTGGGAAGAAGTTCCAACCATCAGGGATAATGGGCCCATTTGTTGATGTACAAAGTTAAAGATCTTTAACTGGGACAGACTCTGGAATAAATCGTGTGTGCCCCAGATCAGCACCTGCTGCCTTTGGGGGGAGCTGAGATGCCCAGGGCTGGACAGACGGAAGCAGAGCTGCTGCTCCGGACAGGGGAATACCGCTGCTCGGGGAAGACAAGGGCCACATGTGGAAGTTAGAAGCGGCCAGGGCCTGCAGAAAGGAAGCCTCCCCACTCAGGACTCACTCCAGTCTACTCTGGCCAGTGCTGGCTTTCTAAGCCATAGCACTCCGAGGTGACCCATGGATTAAGTTTTGGGGTAATCTGTTAAAACAGCCTTGGGAAACTGAACATGTTTCACATACGATCTTAATTCAGATTTAAATTTCACAATTCAGAATGACCAAAATGATAAAATGACAACTAGTTTTAGTACTTTTTTACCCTCACATTGTATTAACAATTTTCATAAGAATTTGCTGAGATTTTAATAAACAGTATCAAGCAGTAGTGTGAAGAATAGTGTTTCTAGAAAAAAGAAAATGCTAAAATATTCTAATTGTATTAATGAAGAACATCCAGGAACCAAAATAGGAATTAAACTGGCCATGCTAACTATTTTAACATCACGCTTAATGAAATATTTTTACTCTGTTTTGGTTTAATAATAAAATGTGTTTCAAAAACTTCACTAAGATAGGCATATATCTGTATCATATATAACATGCTTGAAAGTCATAAAGAAATGGAACATTTTAAAAAAAACAACTATGTATGATGAGCTACATTACTCTGAATTTACAAATAATCAACTAATAATTAGTGTATTCTATCAATAAAATATCTAAAAGGTATCATTAAACTTATTCTGAGACTTAAAAACCTCCACTAAAAACTGAACACTGACCACCTTCCCCGCCTGGTATGTATTAAAATGGCAAAGTTGGTGATCAGCGCACATTAGCCTAAGGAAATCAGATCCACAGAACTGGCATCAAAGACCCACTGGCAAACGTTCCTCGTTAGAAATATAATCAGACTTACTAGCAAGCTCTTAAACTGCGCTCAGTCAGTACGCTCTGATCCAAGTGGGAGCTGGGGCCGCAGTGGAGTTGGGGAAAGAGACAAATAAAGCCTTGTGATACCACAGGAGCCGCTGAGGGCGCACAGCTCACACTACACAACTCCTCTGCGGGGTGGGTGGAAGTGAGAGAGTGACCGTGTGTCCAGTGGCACATGCTCAAAGTCATCACTGCAAGAGCTTTGTGGAAAACTCACAAAACTTCTGAAACATTTACACGGGGGGGAGGGGCACGGTAGTTATCAAAAATTATCTTTCAATTAATTCTATTTTCTCCCCTATTGCTGTTACGATGCTAGAGCCCAAAGGCCTGTCCGTTAAAAACACATTTCCCCCAGCAGACCCTCATGCATGTTTGGACAAGGCAGCTTCACAGGGCTCCAAAGTGGCACGTGAAAACCCTGGGAGATTCAGTAGGAGCACTGGGAGGGAGCAGGCAAGCAAGACACAGCTTTTCAAAGTTCTGCGTACTCACCGTTGTCATCACAAGACTCCGACTGGAAGGAACTGAGGGACTGCACTTCGGACAGGCTCTCCCGGGCACTGTAGGGATGCGAAGGCTTCTCCTCGAGAGGTTTCTTGGAGAGACAGGGGTCAAGGTCCACTACTTTAGCTAAAAGGAAGAAGTGACAGACAGACAGTGCCATGAGGACAGGTGCTCTGCATTGTTGACTGCTCAGCCAAAGCATGACTGAAAGCCGAAGCTTTGCCTGGTACAGGAACAACTGTCAGAAAAAGGAAAACATCTCAGGCTGGACAGGAAGTACAGGGGTTAAGGTGCTTGCCCTGCATGTGACCAACCCTGACTCAACCCCGACACTATACACGGTCTCCTAACACGTAGGAGTAAGCCCTGAGCATCACGGCATGTGGCCCAAACTACCTCCCTGAAAAAAGGGGAAACTTCTCAAACACAAATGAAAATTTGAAACATGGCATTAAAACACAGAAGTGGGAAAAAAAAATCCAAACCCTTTATTCTTGGTGTCACAGAATTGAAATTCTCCTTAAGCCAGCCCATGACTATCATGAAACATAGGAAATTAAAATTTTACCACAAATTATCACAAATACTGGGGCCAGAGCCAGTATTTATAACAGCGAGTAGGACATTTGTCTTGCATGTGGCTGACCCAGGTTCCCCGAGCATTGCCAGGAATAATTCCTGTGTGCAGAGTCAGAAGCAACCCCATCGCCAGATGTGCCCTGGCCCACCAAAAAAGACCTTACAAATACTTTTTTTAAAGGATCAAATAATGTCAGGCCACTAATATAAATTTTATTACTTCTTCCAGACATGTTTTCTTTTTTTAAAAAAAAAAAATCTCACAACACCCAAAAGGAGAGAGAACAAAAGGGAATACCCTGCCACAGAGGCAGGGTGGGACGGGGCTATGGGGGGTGGGAGGGATACTGGGACCCGTGGTGGTAGAAAATGGGCACTGGGGGAGGGATGGGTGTTTGATCATTGTACAATTGAAGCCCAGGCACGAAAATTTGTAAATCTGCAAATGTACCTCATGGTGTTTCACTAACAAAAATTTTAAAAAAATGTAAATGATGGAGAATGGGCACTGGTGGAGGGATGGGTACTGGATCATTGTAGATCTGAAACCCATGCACAACAATTTGTAAGTCTGCAACTGTACCTCATGGTGTTTCACTAATTAAAAAAAAAAAAACCAACTTAGTGGAATTAAATGCCCTTTTTTGGGAGGTAGTAAGCTTCCACAAATTAGAATCGACAACCCCTATGGACGAGGAAAATGTAATGATCCTTCCAATGTCACCATGAGAATGCCTAGATTTAAATCACTGGTAAAAGATCTAACCCACACTCCTCAGCCAACGTCTGGGGTAGGAGGTAAGGTTTTGGAAGCACACCCACCCTTCCCATCCCTGGGTCTGGCCTATTTCTCCACACCAACAAGCCCGCCCACCCGCCCAGTGTCTCCCTGGCTCCCCAGGGCATGCAGAGTGTGGTCCTTACTGTCGTAGTCGAAGTCCCAGTTGGGTTTCTGGATGGAGTCACTGTCGGAGGGGGAGTTGGACGGGGGCGGGGGCGGCAGGTTGGGGGCCACGCTGCAAACGGCCACGGCCTTCCGGTGCCCGTGCACCGCCTCTGGGTTAAAGGTGCTGAACTCAGGGTGCTCGGGGATGGCAGAGCCTTCGAAGGAGTTGCGGTCCAGGTTGTTCCGGGAGTCACTGGGGATGCTTGGAGTGTAGGAGATGGGGCGGACAGGCACCTGGGGCGGCACGTCGGAGTAGATGTTCTTGTTCAGCTTCGCGTCGAAGTAGGGCCGCTGCAAGAAGGCCGTGGAGGGCCCCAGGTGCTTGTCTTCGGGCTCGGCCTGGGGCTTCTTCTTCCGACCCATCATCTTTCGGCAGACGACAAATATCACCACCAGCAGGAAGATCCCCGCTACGAAGACCACGATCCCGATGCCTTCGGCCAGCCCGATGTTCCAGGGCGTGGACACGTACTGGTTGGGGGCAGCGTCCTCGCAGTGCCGCCCTCGGTACTCCTGGCTGCAGTTACAGTAGTAGGACCCATGCGTGTTCTCACAGAGGGCCCCATTGCGACATGGGTTGCCGGCACACTCGTCGATGTCACTCTGGCATCTGCCCAGGAAACCAAGAATGATGAGATTTCTGCAGTGTCACAGCAGGCCAGGCCTGTCATCTTTAAAGACTCTCCTAAGCCAGGCGTGCTCTCAGTCAAGCCAAATATGTAAGCAGAGCCCCGGCAGCCAAAAACCTCCAGGACACATTCACCACCATGCTCACAGCCAATCTCCAGGGGCTCGGACAAGCCTCATCCATGAATGAATCTACTGAGAAACTCTGGGAGGCAGGTTTTGTGACCATGAAATTTCCAGGCTCTCATGAGCTGGGGCTGGGAGACCTTCCCCCATGCCTGGCAGTCACACCCATGAACTACTTCTGGTGCCATATAAGCTCATTAACCAGTCATGATCCAGAGACTCACAATTAAGTTTTGGAAGAGATCAATAAATTACAGAGATGCCTCCAGACCCCAAAGTCACCATCCAGTTCAAAACTGAAGTTCAGGTGTACCATTTTATTTAAAACTTTAGAATTCTAGGAGAAGCACATACTTGGATAGGATGTGAAGTATAAGGCAACTCACACACACAGACACCCCCCCCCCCACCAAGTATTTAAAGAAGCAAAACAAAACAAAACAAAAATAATAGTAACAACAGCAAAAACTTCCTTGCCCACCACTAAAGTATGTGGTACAGCAATTTATCATCTAATTCTAAGCTCTGGATGCACACCTGGGAGATAAACATGTCAGTATTTGACGGCTGTTTCTCTAGAACTCAAAGTGCCCCACAGATTAAACACTAGTCTGTTCCGGATTCTGATTCAGCTATTCCATTCGGCATGTGCACTTTGATAAATGATACTATATAAAACTGTTCTAACAGATTAAATTTCTAAGAAAATGTTCCCATTTGGGAAAGAGATAATGCCACAAAGAATGTGAAAAGCTAGAAAATCCTGTTTTCCATTTTAAAGCAGTTCCGCCCCACTGCAGACTTCCTAAGGCTCCTCTGGTTTTTACCTCCAAGATGTTCTCCCCTCTCTTCCTCCCGAGGCCTATTGTGGACTTGCAGAGACCTATCTGCCACTTCCCAAGCCCTCCTCCACAACTAACTCTACCCGCGCACCATGCCCCATACTCACCTGGAATTAAAACTTTTACCACTAAGATAATGTTGTTAAATATATGTGGCGCTGACTAAAGTGAGGAAACCCGTTTATGAACTAAGACTAGCTGGAGGCAAAATTCAAGAACACAAACGACTTGAACAAAATCAGGTGTGAAGACCTGCCAACAGCCACCCCCCCACCCCCCCCAGCAGCTTCTGAGGACTCGTAGAGGGCAGAGGTGTATTCAAACAACTCTAATGCCTGTGGGTAATGTTGGTCATTACTAACACACGCTGAAGACACTCTTCCACTGAAGCTCGGGAACGGTCTTTCACATCAAACACCAGGCAACCCTAAGTCTCATTTTCTTCACCTGGAAAATCACAGTCACCAACTTGGGACTGGCACAAGGCACAGCCTTACAGAAGACAATGACAGAGCTGGAAAAGGTCTCTGGATCCTGCACGAATATTACAGATCTTTCCGGGGGGGGGGGGGGGGGAATTATCTTTATTTTCGAAGACAGGTAGACATCTTTAAGGTGTCTGTTTTTAAAAACACATGATCTTAGTCATTTTACATTCACTGCCTATAACAGCCTATATATTCTTTGTTAAAAGAAAAGAAAAAGCAAAAATGCTAAAGCATGGAAGCATTATTTGTAGAAACTACTTTTATCGTTTCGATTTTTTTTTAGTTTAAAAGAACAGGTATACAAAAGGCCAATCTAAGGATTAATAATTTTGAAATGATTTAAATCAACCATAGTGTGGCATCTGCTAACCAAGTGGCACTAAAGAGGTAAAAATGCAAGACTTGAAAGAAAGCCAGTTACCCACCCAAGGGTAATAGAGTCAGGAGGATCATTCCACGGTGTGGAAGCTGGCCTCACATGCTGGGGGAGAAGGCAGTTGGGATGGAGAAGGGACCACTAAGTGAATGATGCTTGGAGGCCTCACTCGGGATGGGAGATGCATGCTGAAAGTAGGGTATAGACTAAATATGACGGCCACTTACTACCTGTATTGCAAACCATAACACCCCAAAGGAGAGAGAGAATAAAAGGGAAAGTGCCTGCCATAGAGGCAGGGGGCAGAGGGACGGGGTGGGGTTGGCGGGAGGGATACTGGGAACATTGATGATGGAGAATTGGCACTGGTGGAGGGATGGGTACTCGACCACTGTATGAATGAAACGTAATCACAAAAGTCTGTAAGTCTGTAACTATCTCATAGTGATTCATTAAAAAAGAAAAAAAAGAAAAAAAGAAAAAAAGAAAAAAAGAAACAAAGAAAAAAAAAGAAAAAAGCCAGTTACCTTTCACCCCTAAAACCCGAGTCACACTGACAGACCGCACCATCCAAACTGTCAAAGCACGTTCCACCATTTTTACAGGGCTCATCTTTGCAGTAGGGACTAAGCTGGCACCTAAAAAGTAAGAGCAAATTATGTGTAAGTCTAGTCCTTTAGCTATGAACACATATGGCAAAACAGAAAACGGCAACAAAATAAAGAGATCTTGTCCACTTGTACAATCACATAGTTCAAGAAATCCGTAAATTATGAAAGTTAAGAAAAATCCAAGTGACTCGAACCTGGGACTTGGCTTTCTCTGCGAACGCACCCCAGGCGTCCTCTAGGACCTTGGGACGCTCTTATCCCCGAGCCTCTTCCTGTTCGTCCCCAATGCTGTGCCCGTCTGTTTCCACCCCCAGGTTGTACCCCCACAGACACCTGGTACCCGTAGGGGCGTGGCCTCTGTAGAAGTGGGCATGGCCTCCTCAGAAGTGGGCATGGCCTAATTTTGGGCGGCAGCAGGTAGTTTACCCATACTCAGCAATATTGTGTAACATCTCAGTCTCCATACCTCCACACCAACAACGCAAATCCCCACCACGAGGGGAGGACAATGAAAAGAGTCCAGAAGCCTAACTAGGTGTTACTCACCTAAGGGACCTCTCTGAGAAAGAATTCAGATATACAGTAATGAAGATGTTCAATGAACTCAATGAAACAGTGAGACAAATATCCAGTAAATTAAAGGAGGACACGAGAGAAACAATCGAGAAATTATGAGAAGAAATGAGGGCAGAAATTGGAAAGCTGTTCACAGAAATGTCACAAATCAAAGGTTCCGTAGATGAAATAAGAAACTCAGTCTGTGCCCTCAACAGTAGAATGGCCACAGCTGAAGACAGAATCAGTGAACTGGAAGATCAGCCGCACCAGCAAACAATGGCAAGGACCTCAAAATAGCTCTAGAACAAATCAGAGTCCTAGAAGATGATTCCAAGAGAAACAACATTAGGATCACTGGAGTACCAGAAGGTCAGGGAAACAATCTCAATGAAAAAGCCGCGGTTAAACAAATCATTGCTGAAAAATTCCCAGAGCTGGACAATGCAGCCGTTCAGATTCTAGGAGCCCCAAGGGTGTGAGCTAAAAGAGACCCTAACAAAAACACTCCAAGACGTATCATAGTTAGAATGACGGATGCCGCGGATAGAGACAGAATACTGCAAGCAGCAAGGTCAAAGAAGGAAATCACATACAAAGGAGCACCCCTTAGATTCACAACAGACCTATCAGAGGAAACCCTCCCAAGCCAGAAAGCAATGGTGGGATATAGTAAAAAAACTCACTAAAGTGAGTGCTTCACCAAGAATACTCTATGCGGCTAAACTCTCACTCAAATTCGAAGGAACAGGACACTATTTTCTGGATAAACAGCAGCTCAGGAACTTCATAGACTCCAAACCAAAAAAAAAGATGGGCTACTTTAAGACAAGACAAATCCTACAAGCACAACAAACCCTTACAGAAAGATGACACAAAACCCCGTAACAATAATCTCTCTCAACGTCAACAGTGTAAATTCACCAATTAAGAGACACAGAGTGGCAAAATGGATTCAGAGACAGAACCCAAAATTCTGCTGCCTATAAGAAACTCATCTGAACGGTCAGAGCAAACACAGACTCAAAGTGAAAGGATGGAAAAAATTCCTGCAAGCAAACAGCTCCCTCAAAAAAGCTGGGGTGGCCGTATTAGTATCTGAAAAAAAATTCAAGTTGAAAGAGATTAGAAGGGACAGTGAAGGCCATTTTCTATTCATCAAGGGATATGTACAAAAGGAAGAAATCACACTCTTAAATGTATATGCACCCAATGAGAGACCAGCAAATATTTAAAACAACTGCGAACAGACTTTAAGGAGGACATTGCTAGCAACACAATAATAGCCAGAGACTTCAACATCACCTTATCACCTCTGGATAGATCAACAAGAACAAAACTCAGCAAGAAAACAATGACTTTGAAGGAAGAAATAGGAGACAGCTTATAGACCTATACAGGGCTTTACAGCCCCAAAACAAAGAATACACATTCTTCTCCAGTGCACATGGACCATTTTTCAAAATAGACCATGTGCTAGGCCACAAAACATACCTCAAGAGAATCAGGAAGATAGATATAGTATCAGTAATCTTTTCAGACCACAATGCACTGAAAATAGAAGTGAATCACCCACAGACACGAAGAGCCAAATCAAATACCTGGAAATTAAACAACCCAATGTTGAACAATGAGTGTAGTGGGCCGGGAAAGAAGTCAAAGACGAAATCAAAAGATACCTGGAAACAAATGAGAATGAAGACACGAGCTACCTGAACCTATGGGATGCAGCTAAAGCTGTGTTAAGGGGAAAATTTATAGCTCTACAAGCATTTCTCAGGAAGGAAGAAAGGGCCCACATAAAGAACTTGACTTCACAGCTCAAGAACTTAGAAAAGGAACAACAAAAGGAGCCCAAACCAGGCAGAAGAAATGAGATCATAAAACTTAGAGCAAAAATCAACGACAGGGAAACAACAAAAAAAAAAAAAACCAATCCAAAAGATCAATGAAACCAAGAGCTGGTTCTTCGAGAAAATAAATAAGATAGATAAACCACTAACAACACTCAAAAGAGAGAGAGAACCCTAATAAACCGAATCAAAAATGAAAAAGGGGATATCAGAACAGAAACCAAAGAATTTCAAAAGATCATCAGAGACCACTTTGAACGTCTATATGCCATGAAACGAGAACCTAGAAGAAATGGATGAATTCCTGGATTCCTAAAATCTCCCAAGGCTGAATAAAGAAGATCTAGAATACTTGAATAGTCCTATTAACATCAAGGAAATTGAAACTGTAATCAAAAGTCTTCTCAAAAACAAAAGCCCAGGTCCAGATGCATTCAGTAGCGAATTTTTCCCAACATTTAAAGAGGAATTATTGCCAGTTCCTCTCAAGCTTTTCCAGGAAATTGAAGAAACAGAAACTCTCACAAACAGTTTCTATGAAGCCCATATCTTATAATACCAAGGGGAAACAAAGACACCACAAGAAAAGAAAACTACAGGCCGATATCACTGATGAACACGCATGCGAATATTCTCAACAAAATAGTAGCAAATAGAATTCAACAACTCATCAAAAAGATCATACACCATGACCAAGTTGGATTCATCCCAGGGATATAAGGACGGTTTAACATTCGGAAATCAATCAACATAATCCAACATATCAACAAAAGAAAAGACAAAAACCATATGATCACATCAATAGATGCAGAGAAAGCATTTGACAAGATCCAGCACTTGTTTATGATGAAAACCCTCGACAAAATGGGTATAGAGGGGACTTTCCTCAATATAGTTAAAGCCATCTACCACAAGCCTACAGCAAGCATCATCCTCAATGGGGAAAAACTGAGAGTCTTCCCTCTAAGATCAGGGATGAGACAAGGATGCCCACTCTCTTCACTGCTGTCCAATATAGTACTGGAAGTACTGCAATAGTGATTAGGCAAAAATACATACATATATATATATTAAGAGCCTGAATTCAGGTAGGAAAGGAAGAAATCAAGCTCTCACTTATTCGCAGATGATATGATACTGTATTTAGAGAACCCTAAAACCTCTACCAAGAAACTCCTAGAAACAATAGACTTGTATAGTAAAGTTGCAGGTTCTAATATCAATAACAAAAATCCATGGCTTTCCTATACACATATAGTGAGAGAGAAGAAAGTGATGTGAAAAAACAATCCTGTTCACAATTGAGTCCCAGAAAATCAAGCACCTTGGTCAGCTTAACTAAGGAAGTAAAAGACCTCTACAAAGAAAACTACAAAACACTACTTCAGGAAATAAAAGAGGACATGAGGAAATGGAAGAATATCCCCTGTTCATGGATGGGGAGAATTAACATTGTCAAAATGGCAACACTCCCCAAAGCACTGTACAAATTCAATGTCCCTATAACGATACCCATGACATTCTTCAAAGAAATGGAGCAAACACTCGTGAAATTCATACGGAACAAGAAGCACCCACGAATAGCTAAAGCAATTATTGGGAAAAAGATAATGGGAGGAATCAACCTCCCTAACTTCAAACTCTAATTTCAAACTCTACTACAAAGCAGTAATACTTAAAACAGCATGGTACTGGAACAAGGGCAGAGCTGCAGACCAATAGAACAGAGTTGAACATAATGATATCTCCCCCCAAACATATAATCATCTAATTTTTGACAAGGGAGCAAGATATGTGAAGTGGAATAAGGAAAGCCTCTTTAACAAATTGTGCTGGCAAAACTGGAGGGCTACGTGCAAAAAAAGGGCTCAGATCTCTGTCTAACACCATGTACAAAAGTAAAATAAAAAATGGATTAAAGACCTCAACATCAGACCAGAATCCATAAAGTACATTGAAAACAAGGTTGGCAAAACCCTCCACGACATTGAAGCTAATGGTATCTTCAAAGATGACACACCACTGGCCAAGCAAGTGAAAACAGAGATAGACAAATGGGACTATCTTAAGCTAAGAAGCTTCTGCACCTCAAAAGAAACAGTGACCAAAATACAAAGAGAGTCTACAGAATGGGAAAGGATATTTGCCCAATACCCATCTGACAAGGGGTTGATAACAAGGATATACAAAGTACTGGTTGAACTCCACAAGAAGAAAACATCCAATCCCATCAAAAACTGGGGTGATGAAATGAACAGAAACTTTTCAAAAGAAGAAATCTGAATGGCAAAAAGACACATGAGAAAATGCTCTACATCACTCATCATCAGGGAGATGCAGATCAAAATGACGAGATACCATCTCACACCACAGCCACAGAGACTGGCCCACTTCCAAAAGAACAAAAGCAACCGGTGTTGGTGTGATGTGGCAAGAAATGGACCCTCCTTCACTGCTTTTGGGAATGCCGACTGGTTCAGCCCTTTTGGAAAACAGTATGGAAAATTCTCAAAAAATTAGAAATTGAGCTCCAATTTGACCCAGCAATAACTCCTGGGAATATATCTCAGAGAGGCAAAAAAAGTACAGTTGAAGCGACATCTGTACTTCTATGTTCATTGCTGCACTATTCACAATAGCTAAAATCTGGAAAAAACCCGAATGCCTGAGAACAGATGACTGGTTACAGAAACTTTGGTACATCCACACAATGGAGTACTATGTAGCTGTAAGAAAAGATGAAGTCATGAAATTTACATACAAGTGGTACTACATGGGAAGTACCATGCTAGATGAAATGAGTCAGAAAGAGAGGGACAGACGTAAAAAGATTGCATTCATCTGGGGAATATAAAGTAACAAAATAGGAGACTAACACCCTAGAATAACCAAGGTAAATACCAGGAGGTTCACTCCATGGCTTGGAGGCCAGTTGCACATACTAGGGGAAAAGGCAGCTCAGAAAAGAGAAGGGAGCACCAGTTAAAGGGTGTTGGGAGGATCCTCCCAGGATGGGAGATGCATGCTGAAAGTAGACTGTAGACCGAACATGATTGCCACTCAATGCGTGTTTTGCAAACCAGAGCACCCAAACGGAGAGAGAGAACAAAAGGGATTGCCCTGTCACAGAGGTGGTGTGGGATGAGGGGGTTTGGGGGGTGGGAGAGATACTGGGATCACTGGTGGTAGAGAATGGGCACTGGTGGAGGGATGGGTACTTGATCATTGTATAACTGAAACCCAAGCACAAAAACTTGTAAGTCCACAACTATACCTCATGGTGTTTCATTAATAAAAATTAAAAAAAAGAAAAGAAAAATCCACATACCTCTGGCCAGTGTACAACCCTCGACACTGGCAGATGAAGTCTCCGCTGTCCACCATGCAGGTCCCGCCGTAAAGGCAAGGGTTGGATGCACAGGGGTTGACGCTCACCTCACAGTAGGTCCCGATGTGTAAGGCACTGCATTTGCAGTAATAACCTGATTCGGCAAAGGAGAACAGAAGAGTCCTATCATCCACAGCCTCAAAAAGAGGTAGTCTCAGTATATTAACTTTCAGGGAAGGTTTAGTTTTCTAAGACCCATAGAAAGTTAGTGAAATTGCTATGCCCTGTTTATAAAAACTTTTCTATCTCATCAACTGTGTTTTCTTATCACAACACACAAAGGACTGGAAAGAGAACTCAGTCAGCTTCAGTTTACTCTAACCAATGAATGGGACACACACCGTTCGTCAACAACCAAGTGTTCCTATGGGACTCCCAAGGAGTGCCCCACCCCGCCCCACCACTGACACTTGACCCATCAGACTGTGGGTTCGGTGCAAGGGCATGAGGATGCGATGCTGCATGGACCCAGTGGTGATGGGCACACTCACCCAGGCCACCCCAGCTGCCCCCAGTGATGTTCAGGGGACACATCTCGTGGCGGAACAGAAATCTGGGTAGGCACATGCAGGAACTGTCTCCCGGCCCCCAAATCAGTCCTTCTTTCACGTGGCCACATACACTGACTGGTGGTGTTTGGGGGACTATATGGGGCGCTGGGGATCAAGTCCAGGTTGTCCGCCTGCAAGACAAACACCCTCCCTGCTGCTCTATCACTCCTGCCCCTGCCTCTTGGTTTTCCAGTGAGGAAGCATGGCATCTGCCCGCTGGCCCTGGCGAGGGGGCCAGTAAATACGTCCTCCTTCCTCTGAGGACAGTGAGGACGGGGATTTCCCTTGGCCAAAGAATTGTGGCTCCGTGGGGCAGACATTTAGAAGTAGCCGTCTGGCTTCCAGGCTCCGTTCCTCCTGCCAATGATAGCCTGGGCAGCCGTTCGTAAGGAAACGCCCGTCTCAGCCGCCAGTGACCCGTGCGGGCCGGGTGGAGCGTGTCCCAGGAGCAGAACTAAAGCAGGGGCTCTTGTGCCTCAGGACAGCCCACCACTGCACAGTCTGCACAGACGTACCGAGCAACAGAAAGCCTGATGCTCTGCCGTCCGTTCGGCTCTTTTAGTTCCACTCTCTCTACCACACCTAGCGCTACTGCAGAGGGTAACATTTGTCGTTCTCTTCTTCCCCGCACCACCCCCCCCAACCCTGGTGCTGACAACTCACTGATGAGGCTTCAGGAAAATTATCACAAAGCCTGCAAGACTAGCAGTCTCCCGCTGAGCTGAGCCATCCAATACAAAGAGACATTCAGAAATCTTCCAGGGGGGCAGGGAGATGGTTCAAAGGGCTGGAGGTCATGCACTGCATGAGGGAGCCCCACAAACCAGTCTTGGTATACTGCATGGTCCCCTGAGCACGGCACCAGGACCGGTGCCTACGCACTGCTGGGTGTGACCCCAATACCAAACAAACAAATAAACAAATAAATAAAACAAATAAAGCCAAGTCTATGAGGTCCCATTCAAAGGCCCTCTGGGTCCGTGTCTGTGGCTGAAGAGTGGCTTGGCTGGCTACGTTTGCCTCCGGTCAAGTCTCACAGAACTGCAGGAGCCTGGCAGCAGACAATATCCGCTCCAGCACACCCTTTTCTATGGGGCACAAATGTTGCAAGAATGCTCTCCATAATGCTGGGCACTCAGGAGCCACACCTGTGGGTTCTAAGGTGGCCAGACTACGCAGTGTGGGGGACTGGACCAGGGACTCATGCATGCCAGGCATGTGATTTCACCCTCTGTCCAGCATCCAAGGGCCTCCCTCAGCCCTTGAAGAAAGAACTGCAATTCCAGCAAGGACCAGAGCATCTCACAATAGCATTTGAACTTTTTTTTTTTTTTTTTTTTGCTTTTTGGGTCACACCCAGCATTAAGAGTTACTCCTGGCTCATGCACTCGGGAATTAATCCTGGAGGTGCTCAGGGGACCATATGGGATGCTGGGAATCGAACCCAGGTTGGCCGCATTCAAGGCAAAGACCCTACCTGCTGTGCTATTGCTCCAGCCCCGAGCATTTGAACTTTTTAAAACCTAAAAACGAGAACAACTGGGGAATGTCCCCTCAAGTGCCTACAGGTCTAACATTCAGGCAAGTAATGTTCTGAAGCCCACCTCCAGTCGGTGACGGGTTACAGATTCCTCCATTCTGGCACGGGTTACTCGAGCAGTCTTCTGTGGCTGTTAATAAGCACCCAGGAGACACATCCACGGATTCTTCAATGTGTGCATAGCTTCTTGGTTTGTTATTTAAAGGGAGCTCCTGTCCATTTAAATAAATGGAGTCCATACAGCCTCTGAAGCCATTACTAACTTGGGAACTTCTTCCGTGCCGTGTGCCTTGCTGGTGGGTGTGGCCACCAAAATACACATAGTTGTCCAGGTTGAGGGTCTTCAGAGTCCCTGGAGCTGTGCCTGATGCAGTGTGGACTTGGTCTAGAACTAATCGAGCGTAGTTTCCATTCACTTCGAGAGTCACTGCGTGCCACAGACCATCACTGACCTGGATGCTCTGAACAGACACAATCCCAGGGCCGCTTCCACAGTCAAATTTGTACTGCAGTCTTCCGTTGTGGATCTAGGATGAGAACCATTCACGTGACTCGCTCAGAATCTTCCATTAGTCTCTAATCAAATTCTAAAGGAGAGGGATGTGGGACCACTCAAGATGGAAAGTTAGCCGGGCCTTGCATTCAAGTCGTACATTTGAATAGGATACAAGGAACAGATAGGGGCCTTTCTATGACACTGAATTTAAGTGTGAAATGCAAAACCAGGAACTAATAATCAATGACTAATAATAACTAGTAATTGTTCCACTAATGGAACAATCTGAAATAGCAGCAGGTAATATCAAGACCTGAATTCTGTCTCCTGAAAACCAATTAGGCAAAGTAATGATCTCTCCCAGCATATGTAAGATCTCTCTATCAACTACTGCACCAATACGATTTCTTCAAGCACTTGCAAGATCTCTCTATAAACCAATAAGATGCATAGTCACACTCAGTCTGAGCACTGTCACCTGCATGCAGTTAACAAGTTTGTAGAACGCAGCAGTGACCCTCAGTTTATTGTGGAACAGAATGTTGATCATCCCGCAAAATTTTCATTCCAGAAACTTCTGAGGTACTAATGACTACTAAGATGTGAAACGCAACAATTTCACTGGCTTTGTTTTTGTTCAAAAGTGAATCCACTTATAAGGTATGAATGTAATTTGGAATCTGTGCATTTTGGGCCTCTCACACTTGGAGGTACAGAAACGCAGGATTATTTACCTCCAGGATACTGTAGTCGGTCCCTCGAGCATACATCACCACGGCATGAGAAGAGTACGTTCGGAGCCGCATGGTCAGCTGCATCTCTAATTTGTTCTCATTTTCCATCAGACGATACTTCACATAACTATTTCCAGTAAATGTTAGAGATGAGCTCCCTGTGAATCAACCAGCAAAAACAATCAAAAGCAAGTTGGAGCATTTTTTTAAAAAGTGTGATTCCTCCCAGACTAATTTAAGTACACATTTAAAGTCAAACCATTACAAAATTCAATTTAATGGCTAATGGTTATTTGATTAGTGAACTGTTTTGTACAACTGGATCTTTATTTGGAAGAGAATTAGATTACTGTATCACAGACACATGAATTATAAAATAATAATCTAAATAAAGAAAAGTTCAATATAAAATTATTAGAAGACAACACAGGGAAGATAGTTTCAAAGCTTCAAGGTGGTAGTGGAAACTTCCTCAAATAAGATATTCACAGTTTCTATGCTCGGAAGCACTGACATAGTATCAACCTCCAGAGATTAGAACTGTTAGGTAAATTATGCAGAGATTAGAATTGTTAGGTAAAATTATGCAGAAGAAAAGTTAAATGTCACAATAACAAAGGACACTATTAAGCAAATCATAAGTTCAACAATATACAGACAGTAGATAATGTCAGTAGTTTAAAAAAAAAAAAAGCAAAAACTCCATACAGAAAGCTACACACAGAGAGCGCAAGAAATAAACAAGCCAGCTAATCAGGCAAGGAATATAAATGGGCCTGAAACAGTAGAAGAAATGCTAATGACAGATAAGGACAGGAAAGGATGATTTTCATAAGTAGCTAGAGAAATGCTAGCTTAAATAACTGAGATAGTATTTCATGCCCACTGGCTGGGTAAAATTTATTTATGAACTAAAAGCTGGTGTTTTTTTTTTTTTTTTTTTTGCCACATCTGGTGGCTTACTCCTGCCTCTGTGCTCAGGGATCACTCCTGGCAGGCTTGAGGGACTACATGGGGTGCGGAATCAAATCCAGGTCAGCCACATGCAAGGCGAACACCCTATCCCTGTACTATTACTCTGGCCTCTAAAAGCCTTCAATGAATGGGGAAAGAGATATTGTTTCAACATTCTGGAAAATGAATACAAGCTTTTAAAACCTTAAAAGTATTAAGTCTCTAATACAGTAAATTCTAGTTTTAGGATTTTATTGTACAGAAAAACACGAATATGCAATCACTCGTGGACAAGAATTCTTTCACAGAAAGAAACAGAAACTGTATCTCTCTATATAAGGAAAATACCAAGTAGACTTATAAATATAAAGATCGAATAAAACTTGCTACAAAATACTCTATAGCTACTAGGAAGCATCTGGGTCACAGTATTGGACTGGAAAAGTATCTACGACATAGTGTAAGAGGAAGGCAAAAGTGATACAAGATTATGATGATATATCACATAACATACGATAATTTCTTAACTTTTTTGTTTCTAATGTTCAAAAGAAAGGCTGTGAGGCGAAATAAAAACCCTGCACCAAACAACAAATCCATAAATATGGGACTAAACGTTTAGATGAGTAATGATGACAGAGAAGAAGGTGCATTAATCTCTCGACTTGGGAAGGCTAGGATGTAAGCAGAGGAAACGGCTAGTCACTCTATTCATCTCTACGTTGAACTCTTTACAACACACAACATTTACAACGTTCTTCAACTCTGAAGGAGAAGGGAGGGCTAGAGACTGGCAATGTCTTTGGACAATGGAAGTGGGCTTCACCCCGAGTGCTCACCTGGGCACTGGCCAAACGTGCCCCCTGGACAGACACACGTGTACCTCTCCTCTCGGGGATCCGTGACACACTCAGATCCCTCAGGACACGGATTGTCTTCACATCCGTGGTGGACAATGGGACAACTTCCCTCTGTGTTGAAAAGGAAGAGGGGAGCGCCAGTTAATAGGAGTATCAAGAAAGTCTATAAAGTTCCACCCTCAAAAACTGGGCACGAAACCCTTTGTGCTTCTTATGTTCCTCCTATGTCTGTGCGTGTTACCTTTGCAGAGACACACGGCTGTTCTACGGTGACGGGGAGTCACGAAGCTCAGCCTGGCCGTGCTGTGCGTGGACATCACCTCCTCGTCCACAGACACCTTTTCGTCACAGAACTTCCACGGGCAATCCAGTCCTGCACAGAGCTTCTGGAATACGTCTAAGATCTTCACACCAATGATTTCCTCAATATCGGCCACGGAAGAATTAATCTTGTGCAGAAGTTGCTTTGTGGACGGGGAGTTGCCCGGTTTCTCGATATAAAGTAGGACATCCAGATGCGGATGAGGCTCCGAGGGCTGCAGACTCACAATCTGGATGTCATTCCTTCGCACGCCTAAGATGTTGCGTAATGCTCGCTGGAAGTTGCGCCAGTAGTCGCCGACAAACTCCTCCGGCGTGAGGTTGGCAAAGCGGATGGCAAGTGTGTGGTTCAACATCTCCTGTGTGAATTGTCGGATGTGCACCGAGATATCCGCTGTTGCGGTGAACTTCCCGTCCGTCACGCTGACGTTGAGAACGTACTGGCCGGTGTCGAGCTTCTTATGGGCGATGAGCTTCCCCCCAGTGCTGGAAACAGAGAAGAGGTTGTCCATGTGCGGATCGAGACTGTAGCTTAAGGTGTCATACACATCCTGATCCGTTGCGTGAATCTTCCCAATGACGCCACCTGAGTACTCCTCTCCAAAAGCAGAAATGAAAATCTCTAGAGGCAAAATTGCAGGAGGATAGATGCTCTCTTCGATTACCCGAATGTCGATGTGTGTCAGAGATGATAACTGAGGCTTCCCATTATCTGCCACCTAGGAGAGAAGAAACAAAAGTCACCGTTGCCAATGTCACTACTTACAACTCTTGGTAGAAGTCTATATGCACTGACAGGTTCCAAACTATTAATAACTTGTCAGGTATTTCCCCACATGAGAAACACATCAAGGGAAAGGTTAACCACTTTTCTATAAACATTTCAGTAATTCACCTTTAAATTTGGCTCCCCAACCCAATGTAACAAAATCAAACGAATAAATCACCCTCCTTGATATATAGTAGGAAAAAAATGAAGGTATAATCCAACCCACCCTCAACAAACCAAACCACAGCATCAAATCCCCAAACCCAAATTCTATACATTTTTGTCTTTTCTGACACATTCAATACATTTTCTCAAGTACATTACATTTAAATTTACATTAAGAAGTACATTAAATTTTCTGAAGTAAATAAATACATTTATTTATTTATTTGTTTGCTTTTTGTGTCCTACCCAGCACGATGCACGGGGGCTACTCCTGGTTCATGCACTCAGGAATTACTCCTGGCGGTTCTCGGGGGACCATATGAGATGCTGGGGATCGAACCCAGGTCAGCCACGTGCAAGGCAAACGCCCTACCTGTTGTGCTATCGCTCCAGCCCTGAAGTGGAACTTTTTAGAAGCACTCCTTCCTTACGCAGCAACAACCAAACTATAAAGAAGACACGAATACCTTAACGTGCAGTAAGTAATGATCCTTCACTTTCCTCTTTATGGAAGCTGAAGTCAGGAGGATGCCTTGCTGGTTAACCTCAAATGCTCTGTCGTCGTTTCCGCTCACAATCGTAAAGAAGAAGGGAGGCCCATTATGAGAAGAATCCTTGTCTGTAACTGCCAGCTGTAGCACACTGAACCCTACAGGCTTGTTTTCCTGTGCAGAAAACAGAACGCAACTAAAAACCTCTCACACACCATGTTCAACAAAACCGACTCTTTACGGTGCAAGTGTGTGAAACGAAGCACCTAGAAAAGGGGGCCATAGCGGCTGTCCCCTTTGAAAGGAGGAAAGAGAAGAAAGATGGCAATGAGGTGAAGGGGGTGATGGTAAGGAGGAAGGTGAAGCTGGATAGGGGCAGAGGTGAAAGGGGGCTGGAGAGGACCCCTGTGCAAAGAGTTGGTGAGAAATCGGGAAGTGGTGGCAACGGAGGAGGGAAAGGGAGGAGAAAGGCCACAAGGGAGCAGAATAGCCCTGGCCACAGGCCCCCTCAAGGAGGAGTGAAAGCAAGAAAAAATGAAGATTACATATCAAGGGGCCGGGGAGCTAGCCCAGAGCACAGGAACACACACTCGATACACAAGAAACCAGGAATTGGGTCCCAGCGCCACATGGTCCCTGAGTATTGCTGAAGCATGACCCCTGGGCACCAGTCTAGGTGTCATCCCTGAGCACCACCAAGTATGGTCCCCAAAGACAGAAATGGAGGGAGGGGAAGGATTAAGACTCATGCAAGTGAGAGTGTCCTAAAACTTAAGTCCAAAAGGCAGAGGCAGTGAAGCCTGAGAGCACCTGCTCCATTTCCATTGAGCAGCTCTGATGGAGATGCTCTGAGTTTCTTTCTCCTATTCTTCTAGAAAGCCGTCTTTGGCAAAGAGAAGTATTACCTGAATAATGACACTGTAGTTCCCCTGGGAAAAGACGGGCGCATTGTCGTTGACATCGGACACGTCGATGTTGACCGTGGTTGTGTTGACTCTGGGGGGACTGCCGTTGTCAGAAGCCTGAACGGTGAGCGTGTAACCAGAAATCTTTCCAGGGACAAGACAGAGAAAACTCATGTTCACTTTGAGCAGGCCAAGTCCAAACAAAGTCTACCGACCTCCCTGGTCTCTAACTAACCAGGGCTACTAAAACTTTTTCCACTTGTGATCCCTTTCGGCCCTAGAGAATTTTACATGACCTTGGGTATAAAAATTAACATAGATATTAACTGATAACAAATCATATAAACTTATGTGAAGCCAATGTCTTTTTCTGTTCATGTCTTCGTTCAAGCTATTATCCTCAGGGATAGCCTTCTTTCACTTTCTTGTGCTTTCCAAATTTCTGTCACTTTTAAAAACTCATTTTCTAGAGGCCAGAGAGATAATGCAGTGGGTAGGGTACTGGTTTTAAATGCGATCAACCCAGGTTCAAATGCCCGGAATCCCTTATGGTTCCTTAAGCACTGCCAAGTGTGACCCCCCCCCCCCCCAACAATACAAATGACCGAACCATTCTAGCATATGACACACAGCTTCCATATTAAGATCTTTAAACAAAAATTGATTTCTGAATATTTACATCTTGCTTATCAGATCTCAAGCCCAAGGCAGGTACTTACCATCTCATCCCCATATCTGAATATGAAGCATTTCTAACTATGGAGTCAGTGATGTATGAACAACTTAGAAGCCAACTTTTTTCACTTACTGTCTCTCGGTCCAGAAGGCTAGTCACCTTCACTTCTCCCCTGGCAGGGTCAATTGTGAACGGACTTCCTTGATTGCCATCAATAATCGAATAGTGGATGTGGCTATTCGAAGGTCCATCAGCATCATCAGCCATAACCTAGGAGGGACCCAAGTTTAAATCTTTAAATATTAAATAGCAGGGGACAGCAAAGGAAGGAGACATACAACTGAACAGATTTCTGGTATCAGCTGTCTCAAGACGATTCTTTATGATGTGCATTCATGTGGCTAACAAAAGATATTAAGTTATTACAAGTTAGGCGACTGTAAAGCGCGGATCAATCTGACTAAACAATGCAAAAATTCAGAAGAAATTGTAAGGGAAAAATACCCACGGTAATGACAGACTGCTCAAGAACTGCATCTTCGCTGATCACGGCTGTGTAGGTGTCCTGGCTGAACACTGGGCTATTATCGTTGATGTCTGTGACATTGATGTTCACGGTTGCAACATCACTCAAAGAAGGCGTGCCTCCGTCAGTGGCTTCTACAGTCAGGTAATACTCATGAGAGGTTTCATAATCCAGATTCTCAATGACAAAAATGGCCCCTACATGAAAATAAAAATTATTCTCAGTATTTAAACTGCCAGCACCTTCTCCTACCATGACTGAATTAAACTACACTTTTAAGCATCTAATTCTACTTTTAAAAACTTACCATTTGTTTTCTAATTTTCTAGTTCAATAAGGATGATTTATAAATCTTCCCATTATTGAATCCTTATTCTCAGAATTATTTTCCTATCATTTTAGTACACTTAAATTTCTCCAGCTACAAAAATTATTTTTCTTATCTCTTATAAAGTTCACCACAGACTCCACTTTAATTGATATGAAAATTATACTCTTTGGCTTTTTCGTTTCCTTTTCTTTCTCATACTCTATTCTTTTATAGAAATGTGTATCCTTTTATCCTAATCTCTATGATAAAAACCTCTATTTCTATCCTATCATTTAAAAATAATTCCTTTCAGATTTAACAATGTATCTAACATCATTTCTTTTCATGTCATTAAAGTCCATCCTACTAAAAAGACAATGGGATGAAAGCCCTAAAAATGACAATTTTATATTTTAAAATAGATTTTTTTGAAAGTCTCATTGTACACCTTCTCTTTTCCTACCAGTTAAATACAATTAAATGCAGTTTGGATGGAACAACTTTTTACAGTGTTCTGAGACATCTTTTTCAGATCACAGGTTAACAACAATTACGCAGGAAGAGTCAACAATTGCTAAGACTTGTGACCTTGTGACAGTCATTCGTTGTAATTCAAAGTACTTCAACTATTATATGTAACTAGCATAATAAAGAAGTTGGTGTAATAAACTACCAGATGCCTCCTAGGAAATCTAAGATCAAAGATGTGGAAACTGCTGTTTCACTCCAGAGCTACATGACAAGAGTTCACTATGGGTGGTAAAGCCATCACGTAAGGTCTTTTACTTCAGTCCATTCTACCATCATTAACTTTAAAACAATTACTATGCAACACTTTAATTTCCTACTTCTAAATTCTAAACTCTCTAAGTGTACTAATTTATTATAACAGAAATATCAGAGTCATCTTATTACACAGAATTTTATAGTTTTTTAATACCCTTTCAACCCCACTTAAAACCATGATATAGGCCCACGTCCCACCTTTGCTGCCATCTAAGCTCATCTACAGACAGGCCTTGTTTCAGAGGCTCATAAATAAATCTCGAAAGAGATCAACTAGCTGCAAAAATTTCCATGCGTCACGGAATGCCCAAGTAAAAATATTCTAGATTTTATGGAGCGACATTTCAAAACTCAAGTCCACTAATATCCCAGTGAGAGCACACCAGATTGGGTGGGATGTAATGTAGAAGCCAACCACTCTCAACTAACAAAACAGGAGGCTTAACTTGCAATAACAGCTCAGTGAAACCTCAGACAAGGACTTGATATCCCCAAGGTGAGATACAACAATTTTCACAAAACGCAAATTTTCTTCTATGGAAATATCTTTTGATCATTCCATTAGCCATTTCGTGGTAACACACAATATAAAATAAACTACTGTGGGCCTGCCATGAGGGCAGGCTTGAGGGTGGCTAGGAAAATGGAGACAATGGTGGATGGAAGGTGAGTATTGTTGGAATACTGAACAGCTGTAACAAATCATCGTGAATGACTTTGTAAACCACAGTGTTTAAATAAAGTAGGAAAAAAATAAATAAAATCATGATACAAATATTTGAACATCTATTGACAATCTCTGGTCTGGCACTCTGACTCAAGTAAAGTGTTGGGCAATCCAGTCTTTTTGGCAAAATAATGGGGCTTTTTCTCACATATGAGGTAAGTTACCTGTTTTAGAATCTATGCTGAATTTCCCATGTTCATTTCCACTTATTATTGAATAGGTGATTTCTGCGTTTGCTTCGATGTCCCGACTAGCCGCGTACACCTGCAGAACTTCTGTTCCAATCAGGATGTCCTCAGACACGGTGGCACCATACTCTCGGTACTCAAACACGGGTGGGTTGTCATTGATGTCCAGAACAGATACAACAACAGTGCCCGTTGCCGTCAGACTCCTTGAACCTTGATCTACAGCTCTGACAGTAAGGGTGTAAACCGCCTGTAGTTCTCGATCCAAAGGTCTTTCTAACTGAATGATCCCAGATAATTTATTGATGGAGAACTGCCCATCAGCAGAGTTCATCATGGAATAGGATATCTGGCGATTCAGTCCTGGCAAAACATGAAATCATGTTGTACTGTTTCATTTAAAGTATTTTAAAAAAGAATCACATGCAGCTTATTTAAAAGGAAAAGTGCTAATACATATTATCCTTTAATTTCTATAATCATGACTCTAGGAAAGCAAATTTTTGGATGAACGTCTGACTGTGTCAAAACAATGGAAGCATTATATAGGAATGCCCAGCAGATATTTTCAAATAAAGCCTATTAAAAGCTCCAGTGACTTATTTGAAAAGTAACATTTTTGCTATTCTCCTAATTCTCCAGTATTTATAAGATTAAAGAAATTATTTTATGCACTGCTATCAAATGCTAAAATACATCTCAGCCTTATTTTCTCCATAAAAATTCTGAAAGGTTTATAAAACTCTAGCCTATTTTTGCTATTTCTATACTAAAAACATATTTATTCACAAAATAATACTTTGCTAATTAACTCAATAGGATGTGAAGATCTGTTACAACAGTCCCTGACCAAAACTCTAAGGACACCACACATACCTAAAGTTTACTTGAAACAACTTTGTGACTTCAAATAGTTAATAAAAATGCATTTATTATTCAAAATTTTCATTATTTTCTGGGGGGAGGGACCTCCCAAGTGGTGCTTAGGGTTTCGAATAATAGATAAAAATGAATGCATTGTTCTAAAATTTTCATTCCTCTTTTTGTGGGGGGACTCCCGGTGGTGCTGAGGGGCTTGGAGGGACCACCCTTTGTGATGTACAGCCAACTAGACTCCCGCTTCAGTATTAGGGCTCTGAGGATGTGGCCCACAGGACCTGCAGGACCTCTCTGCCCATATTCAGGACCCCGAGGTGCACGGACCAAACCTGGGTAGAGCGCTAACTCCTGAGCAACCCTCCCAGCCCCCAATGTCATGCCACCTTAATGCGAAGGAATCGACAATTCTGAGTTGCTCTGTGCGCAGGAGATAAAGTTAATAAACAGAATGGACGCTGAGTGTGTTTTCAAATGGAGTAGGTCCCTAAAGAATTCCTATAAAGTGTCAAACGGCAAAGAACCTTCTCCCTACCTTCGTCCGCATCTGAGGCTTGCACCCTCGTCAGCAGGGTCCCCGGCTCTGTGTTTTCAAACACGGTGATGGTATACGGATCGGCAGAGAATTCAGGGGCGTTATCGTTCACATCTTCTAGGGTCAGCACGACATGAGCCTGACAGAACCTCCCCCCTCCGTCGGTGGCCTTGATGAGAAGATTATAAGTGGCTTGCTCCTCGCGATCAAGGGGGGCTGATGTTTTCAGTTCACCTAAAATGGAGCCAACAAAAATACATGAACTCATTGGAAATCGAAAATGTGGCTGATAACAGAAGAGCTGATTTCTTCTCCTTTCCCTTACAGCCACAAATCTGAAGACCACCCTCCTTTCAGAGAAGAAAATGATCAAGGACAGAGTGAACAGCTGCATGAGAACAGTTTCTGGATATCACCCACTTCAGGTGCCCGCACTTTAAGTCATAAAAATCTTGAGGCTAGGCCCTGTATTATATATAATGTCACAAAAGACAAAGTAACTACCTAACTTACTAAATTAAAAAAAAATGTTTAATTGATTCAAAATGTAAATTTTTACGCTTACAATTAGTTCTTTAGGGTAGGGGTGGGAAGATTACGAGTCCACTGTTAGTTAAGTTCAATTTTAACAAAACAAATCCACTGTAACAAAATAAATCAAAAGAGGAAAACAATGCTGACAATTTAAAGATTAACAGAACACCCTGAATTATAAACTTACAGATCACAAAGAAAACATACTATACAAATGGACAAAAGCAAACACTTTGAAATATAATTTACCTTCTAACATTTTAACTTCAAGTGTGTATGTGTGCATATGGGGGACAGGGGGACACGTACACTGGCTCAGGGCTTACTCTTGGCTCTGTGCTTAGGGATCACTCCTCACAGTGCTCAGGGAACCACAAGTACAGGGATCAAACCAAAGTTGCCAAAGGCAAGGCAAGTCCCTTATCCTCTGCTACCTTTCCAGGTCCCTCACAAAAACATCTAAATTTTAAATCTTGTTCAAGTGGATCCTAGTGATACTGCTAATGTTAATCTCAACCCCCCAATTTCTATTTGTATTTCTGAAAGAGGCCAAAGTTTGTAATATCAGAGGAAGTTTTAAAAGAACAAAATATAAATTTCAAGTAATTACCCACATATATAATTTTGCCGAAACACAATTTTGGCTCAAATTCCATTGTTACCTGTGTCTGGATTTAGCTTGAATTTTTCTGCACCTGGACCAAATAATGTGTAAGTGATTTCAGCATTGGAACGGATGTCTGCATCGGTAGCAGACACCTGCATGACCAATTTCCCAGGAAAGGCGTCTTCTCGAATTGTCTCTGAATACAGAGTCTGCAAAGATTTTAAAGAGAGAAGATTTTAAGTGAAAATACTGAAAGACAATATGACTGCCAACAGATAATTAGGAAAGAAACCATTTGACTTTGGTCATAAAACGATGGGAAATATTTTTTTAATTCAAATTCAGAGTTTTCAAATTTTTTTCTTATGAAACAATGCAAAACAAAGGAGGAGACATATAAAAAAAGAGACACCATAGCCTGAGAGTCTTACCTGACAATAAACCCACAGAATTCTAAGCCCTTTACGTCTCTGAACTAGTTTCCTATTTGGTTCAATTTAAATTAAAAGATAATAGCAGTGGAGTACAGACTTAGCTAAAATGGGAGAATCAATGCTATGTTCTATCTCCTTCCTTCTAATGGAGAGGTGTACTGTAACTAAGCATCCGTAATAATAACCAATCCTTATGTCTTGGGAAAAAAAAAACCTTCCCCAAGATGAGATGGGGGGAGCAAAGCTCAAGTGAGACTTCTTCCATTAACCTATTTGACCTCTTTTCTCTGCATGTCTTACAAAACACTTATAAATGTTCATATTTCCAGCTATTTAGGAATCCATTCCATGTAGCCAAACATATGAAAAACAAAACATTCTGCAGAATTTGTTTTCTTAATATGAGCTCAGTTTTGGGCGAACTACATATTTTATGGCTCATTTCATACATCATTATTTTGCCATACTGATGGTTTTAAGCTTTAGTATTCCCAAAGATGATATAGTATTATATTCAAGCCATATAAATATGTGTAAAACACGCAGTATCTTTGTGGCTGTATGTGAGTCAAATCCTTTGTACCTCAAATACTGTCACCACAAAGCAAGCCAGTGGATGAGAATTATTCTTCAGTCCTCAAAGGTCCCTTCCCCCTCCTGAATACTCAGGCCAGCTCTGTTACTTTCCATAGGTACAACAGGCTCCCTCGGAGTTGGCAGTGTTCTCCAACTCTATGATCCCTCGTCAAAATCTCTCTCTTCCTAAGATCCTCTTCTGCCTCCCTTTGTTGTCCTAGTAAGCCAAGTCTATTTCATCCATGAAGTGTTCTATGTAATCTCCTTCAGCCAGAGGCCCTCTACTTCATGACCCTAACATCATCTCTGAACCTGCAGGAAACTCAATGTACCCACTTGAACTTAATTTTAGCTTAATTTTAGCTTGGTTACACCTTCCTGTATGCATCATCCCAATTCCTAAAAATTCTCTCCTTCATTCTCAACATGAATCGTTACTGCTAGCTTCCTTCCAGTTCTGCTTCTTCTTACCTCGGGAAATGCCTCTCTCAACTTTGCGTTGCATTGTTAAATTACTTTTCAATTGAGCTTTAATGATCAGTATACAAAGAACCCACCAACTTTACATAGCCTTCCCTAATAGCCATCCTCACATCGGCATTTCTAAATGTCCACATTTTTTTTTATAGATAAGTACGACATTTTCGAAGAAAAATGTTCACTTCAACTGAGCACATCTGAAATAATCTCAACCTGTTCCTCCAAAACCCACCCACTATCCAGGCTTATCTCTGGTCTTTCTCCCAATCCCTTGGGTAGAAAGCATCAGAGTCAAGTTTAACCTAACACACGCTGTCACATCCCCGCAGAAGCAAATGCTCCACTATTTCCTTTGTAGACTCATACCCACTCAGTCCGTCTGTCACCTCATCTGAATTCTTGATTATTCCTTTATTTTCACTCTTGATCATTTAAACAGAGACAGCACTTGCAACCTCATCTTTAAGAATCCATGATTCATGCCACCTCTATCTTTTAAAAATAAAAGAATTTCAGAGTCCCCTTTTCTCTAGAATAAGGCCCAAATTCCCTGGAATGACCAACTCCTTAATGCGGCTTTAAGACTGTTAATTCACAGTCCATCCCATTGCCTTTCTACCTTCTTTCTGATTAGATAATCACCATCACCAAAGGCTGAGCCCAAGCCCTCTTTCTGAGTTTCTGTAGCAGGTGGAAAAATGCTACCCAGAAATGGTCTCCAAACGCAAAATAAACTTTTTGTTGAAAACCACTGAGCAACTATTGCCCCACAAATAAGTTCATTACCAAATGAGGGAAGTCCTTCATGGAAACTTGACAGAACACAACTGCAATCGTGTTCATAATTCACAGTATTTTTTAATGAGGTTTTTAACCTATTTTGCATTCCCTAAAATAGTTCGAAAGCTATCCTAATTCTTGTCCCATTTAACACTCATCTCTGGTTGAACAGTAAGAAATTGTAATATAAAACACATCTGAATTATACCGAAGTGCCACATGACAGGTCTATTGAAAGGTTCAAAAAAGAGCTCTGAATTCATAATATATCAATTTAAAGGCACAGTAGCCCACCTTTTCACAAACCGGACTGTTATCATTTGCATCAAGAACTTTCACTTCAACTATTGCTTTGGAGGAGAAGGTCCCATCAGTTGCTGTGATAGTCAGAAGATAATTGTCCCTTTTTTCCCTATCTAGTGGTTTCTTCACATAGACCTTCCATTCATTCTGTACATTTTCAATACCAAACTGCCCCAACGGATCTCCTCCTATTAAATCAAAGAAGATGACAGATTTATTGATATAAGACCAGAAAAAAATATTATACAAAAGTGATATTATGGTTTTACAAGAACTAGACATTTTGAATAATCTTAAATTTGGGATACTATCACATCCACTCACACCCCTGACCCAAATCAAACTAGCATTCGTGTATATCCTTAAACATGCCATTAAGTCATATAAAATATAAAAACTACTGGATAATACTTATGTATACACTGAAACTAAAGGCTTTTCTTTTAAATTGCAATGTATTAGGTGCTGAATAAAAAATTAAACAATATAAACCATAAAAATGAAGTCTAATGAAATAACTTTTATTGTTCCTCAGGCTAAAATGTGAAATTTATTTAATAGATGCTATCTGTACTTATTTTAGGTAGACTTCTTAAAAATCATCACTTTACAGCTCCAATCCATAAGACATATATACCTCAGAATATGCACTTGTCATAAAATTTGATGCCTAAAATTTGTCTTACCTGTTATGCAGTATGTAACTTGTCTATTAATCTCTTCAGAATCTGCATCTGTGGTACTTAAGATGGCAATCACACCTCCTGGAGGGTCATCCTCACTCACTGTCCCTTTGTAAATCTCTGCTGTGAATCGCGGGGGACTATCATTGACATCTGTGACCGTAACGTCCACAATGGCTGTGGAAGACAGCTGAACCTTTTCACCGTGATCTGAGGCAATGACTTGTATCTGATAATTATCTCTCTCTTCATGGTCAAGCTCCTTTAGAGTTGTAATCCAGCCTGTTTCCATGTTGATGGCAAAAGATTCAATGATATCTACACTTTGTGACTGGTCTAGACTATACATAACATGGCCATTGGTTCCTGAATCCAGATCTGATGCCCTGACCTGGATGACTCTACTTCCCCCTGGCAGGTTTTCAACAATATAGGCCTCATAGGGGTTCGACTCCAAGACAGGGCTGTTATCATTCACATCCTTCACCTGGATACTAACATCTACAGAAGCTACCACTTCGGAGTCTTCGTGAGTGCACCTGGCAAGGATGGAAAACTGGTACCACTTGGTTGTCTCGTGATCAAGACGCTTCTCCAGCTTCAGCCTCCCACTCTGTCTGTCAATCACAAAGAACTCATCTCTGTTGCTCTCCGGAGTATTCCCTTTGACGAGGCTGTAGAGGACAGAGCCACTGTGCTCTGCTCGGATGAGATCTATTTCTGTTCCAATGGGCATGTCTTCTGAAATGGTATAGGTGTAAAATGGTTCCGTAAATTTTGGAAGTTGCATCTCAGGGGGGAGGATTTTAACATACACGGGGACAACAGATTCTTTTGGTGGGGACCCGTTATCCACAGCCCTCACGAAGAAAGTGAAGACCTCATTTTCTAAGCCAATTAAGCTCTCCTTTGTTGTAATTATGCCAGACAGTTTGTTAATTTCCAGATTCTCTTTAACACTTTCTGAGTCTGCTTCGATGGCGTAGGTGACATCAGCATTGGATCCCTCGTCGGCATCACTCGAGAGAACTTTAATGACAGATGTCCCTTTGGGAGCACTGGATCCGATGTTCACTTCATACTTGGTTGCTCGAAATTGTGGCACATTATCATTGTCATCTGTAAGGATAACGTTAACGGTGCAGAAAGCGACTTTTCCTCCAGCATCCTTGGCCATTAAACGGACGGCGATGACTTTCTCTGCTGGGGTTTCTCGATCCAGTTTTTCCAAAGTAAGAATCTGCCCCCTATCATTTGTGTAAAATCTGTCTTTGGCAAAGTCATTTACAATATGGTACGTAATATGACCGTAAATACCAGAATCCCCATCAGTTGCTTTAACCTCAATGACCAGGGTGTGTACAGGAGCGTTCTCAGCTAGCTCAACTTCATATTCATTCTGAAGAAAAACAGGACTGTGCAAATTGCCTCCAATCACAGTGACGTGAACCTGAGCTGCACTTCGAAAGACTCCATCAGAAACAGAAATGTTCAGACTGTAAAAAGGCTTCAAAGTGTGCCGGCGGAGATTTGAGAGTGTGATGATCCCCGTTTCACTGTCTATGACAAAATTCTTATGGTCATTGCCAGACAGAATGGAATACTCCAACTTGTCTATGTCTGAACTGTCCGCATCATAGGCTTTTACACACGTCACAAAATGCCCAGGACTGGCATGCTCGCTGATTCTCGCTTCATAGATCTGTTGGTCAAATAACGGTGGGTTATCGTTGAGGTCCGTGATTTGCACGGTGACAACCGTGTCGCTGCTCAGCGGGGGCATGCCACTATCCACCGCCCTTACAAAAATCTGGTGCTGCTGGAACTGCTCATAATCCAAAGTTCTGGCCAGTGATATGAGACCAGTGCTGCTATCTATGTGAAAATGGTCATGGCTCTTGCTGTGGTTGCCAAACAGATAGTATGAAATCCCTCGGTTGGGTTCTGAATCTGCATCTGTTGCTCTGACTTGAAGGACGGGTGTTCCGATTATAGATGCCTCAGACAAGGTTGTGGCATACGCCTGCTGGACAAACACGGGTGGGTTGTCATTGATGTCCTCTACTATGATGTCAACAAATACTTCAGCATGAGCACCGGTCAAGGAATCAGTTGCTCGGATGTTCAGCTTGTACGCTGGGTGATATTCAAAATCCAGGGGAGAGATGACGTTGATCACTCCAGTGTTGAAGTTGATGGTAAACTGGCGGAAGGGATCACCGTCTGTGATACTGTAGAATACCTTCAACCCCTCGGGGCTGTTGGCTTGCACATGCACGACGGGGCTGTGCATCTGGATATTCTCAGGAATCTCTGCGCTGTAGAAGGGCTTCTCGAACACAGGCATGGCTCTGTTCATAATGGTGATGGGAACGATGACTTCAGCTGAAAAGGCCGGGTCTCCTCCATCTTTGGCAACCACCGTGACGAGATATTCTTTATTTAAGGTGTCGGGTTCAAATGGCTTTTTCAGAGAGATTTCACCCGAGGATCCGATTTGAAAGTGCTCGTGATGTTCCTTCAGGTAGTAGTGCACTTCCCCATTTCGGCCACTATCTCTGTCAACGGCGGTCACCGAGCGAATGATGTGGCCCACTGTAGCGTCCACTTTCACAACAGCATAGTAAGGAAGGTTGACAAACACTGGCGCATTGTCATTTTGATCTTCTACAGTGACCTTCACGACAACATGGGCTGCTGCTGAAGGCTTATGTTCTTGGGTCACCTCCACCACCACGTCGAATGCCTCTTGCTGTTCCCGATCAAATGGTATGCCGGTGGTTGACAGAACTCCAGACGTGCGGCTTACTTTAAATCTGCGATCTGGGTTGAGGATTTGATAGAACAAAGGTTCATTGATCGGATTTCCAATCGCCGTGATGACCGCTAACGTTGTGGTTTCTGTGGAGTTCTCTTTCACGACTGCAGAGTAGAAATCCTGGGTAAACTTTAGTTGACTTTCTTTGCTTTCCTTTACATTAATTTTCACAGAGGTAAAGCTTGCGAATCTGCCATCAGACGCTCTTATGGTGAGCTCATAGCGGCTTCTTAACTGAGTTGTGTTTTGCACAGTTATAGTTCCAGTCTTGTAGTCCATAAAAAACTTCTCCCCAATGTTGCCCTCGGTGATGGAGTAGATTAATTGTGAGAATGCTCTTGAATCGGCATCTGTCGCATTTACTGTGATGATTTTAACTCCCCTGTAGGTTGGCAACAAAAGAGATGCTTCATACAATGACTTGGAGAACACTGGAGGGCAGTCATTAATGTCAATTACATGTATAGTCACGTTAGCTGCATATTCAGCAAACAAACGTGGTGTTCCCATGTCATGGACTTGTACTGTAAAGTGGAAAGTCCTTGTTTCTTCATAATCCAAACTGAGAACTGTATGAATAGCACCAGTGCTAGAATCAATAGCAAAATATTTGTGTATGGATGGTTCAACAATGTGATAAACAAGCAGAGCATTTGATTCTTTATCAGCGTCCGTTGCCCGAACCACTAAGGGGATGTTCTTGTCTGTTAGGACCACACTGTTAACTGAAGCTGATTCACTAATGAGTCCTGTATATTCTACCTGCATAAAAACTGGCCAGTTGTCGTTTTCATCCTGCAGGTGTACTAGAACAGTTGTGTTGGTGGACAAACCAGCCATGTTGGTTCCTTGTACTGTCAGTGTGTAAATGGGCAAAGTCTCAAAATCCAGGGCTTTCTGAGTGATGATACTCCCAGAATGTGGGTTGATATCAAAAACATCAGCAATATTTCCATCTTTTATTTCATAGACTACTGATGACTGACTATGGGCTGTAACCATTCCCACAAAACTTCCAATGCCGATCGTTTCACTAATTTCAACAGAATATTGCTTGGATGTAAACTTAGGGGAGGCATTGTCAGCAACTGTGACGAAGATGTGCACAGAAGTTATTTCACTCATTGGTGGATTGCCTTTATCTGTAGCTTTTATCATCAAATCATATTCTACTTGGTTACTTCGATCTAATTCTTTGGCAGTTTTTATAGAGCCGAAGATAGGATCAATTGTAAAAGAATTTCCAATATTTCCTAGAAGAAGGGGAGAAAAAAACACAATGGAGAAAAAAAAAAGGATCAGTAGACGTGGTAAAGAGCAGAATCAAAAATATCTTTAAAATTATATTCCTAAACAGAAATTTGAACATTTTTCAACTTGACTCATTTTCAGTTCATATATATAAAACAGGCTTTTCCAGAGTTTTCTGGGTTTGTCTGTAAATGAAGAATAAGACATTAAAAAAGCATGCTTTATATCTAGGTCAAAATTCATTCTCTATTGGCGAGACCCAGAATGTGGACTAGTTAATAATGTTTCTTCAATAGTTCTTCACTATCCTTTGAAATCTATTTATATTTGCAGCTTTTATTACTTGCAAAATCTCAAGATTCTTATTCACTATAAAAAAAATTCAGTTCTGTCAGCTAGACAAACTTCAAGAGCACTATCCCGTTTATATTTTATGCAGTTCTCATTTTAAAATTACAATTATTATTTATTGAGGTAACAATGGTTTGCAAGAACGACCTATTATTGCAGGGGTACTGTGTTACAACACAAGACATTACAAAGTTCTAATATAGCTCCACCATATTTATGAACTATCACATCCTCAAAACAACAAAAGACCAGGAACTAATTGAATGAGCTTGTGTAATCTACCCCACTTTATAGAGGCTTTGAAGAATTCAATCCTATCCCTTCTTTGTCTCTTCCAGGTTCATTTATTCTCTAAGTCAACTGCTATCATCTGAGGGTGAGTATATTTCTCAGAAGGGGACATTCAACATTGCCTGGAGACATTCTAGATTCTAACACCTGGGGAGAGAGTGAAAGGGGAGAAAGACGTCGAGGGCAGAGACCAAGCAGGCAGAGCTCAGCGATAGAACATTTGATTGCAGACGGGGGTGCTGCTAACCTCTACAGGGCTCAAGACAACCACCACAGAAGACTCCAAATTTCAAATAGTTCTAAGAAAACTGCAGGGTAGAATATGTCTGTTGTTTTGGGGGTAGGGAGATGGGGGGCTTTTCCAGCTACATTACATACATATACTTGACTGTAAGTAAAACTCTAGCATATTGCATTCTTCTTATTATTATTTTGCCATCCCTGAAATCAACTAGAGGTGAGTACTTCTGATACAGCAAGGCAGTATAAAGGTCCTAAGATTACGTCCACGAACTCTCCACCCCTTTTCCTTTTTATAAACAAGAATCCAGAATCCATTACCCCTGTCACAGAACTGAATTTACATCCCCCATGAGAACTATTACACTTACCCGAAACGAAGTTGACTAGTCACTTAACTACTTTCTCAAATTCAATTTTCCTCTAGGCTTGCAATCAAGCATGTTCTTTCACAAACCCAAATGACTGAGTGTGATTTGCAAACCAGGGGATTAACCAAGCACTTCTTTCTCCACATTGTCACTAGTATGTATTTCCTCAACATTCTTTATTTCCTTCCTTTAGACATTTTCAGAAAAACCAAACTCACGATAATTTTTTTCCTGAGGCCAGAGCTCGTCTGGTTTTCATTAAATCTGCCTGGCTCCGTGTCCAAGTCCCAAGGCACTGCCCTGCTCCAAAACAGGACAGTGAAGCAGGGTTTTTCCAGGCCTCAAAGCAGAGCTGAAACCTAGAGCACAAATAGGAGGGTCTCTGCTGCCACCGCCAGACCCTGCAGAAACTAATTTCCACCCTGTCTGTATTTAGGAGACCTTGAAGATCCCAGATTCTCTTGCAGAGCTTTATAAAAGTCAGCATTTGATAAGAGCATGCTGAGGTCCTTCCTCATCCTACCTGAGCTTCACATACAACCTTCCAACAAGTGGCTAGGTGGCCGGATTGACACAGACTGGAAACCTCTAGCTGTCTCCATCCCCACCCTGCGGCCTTTCTTAGGTGCCTGCTGATGAAAGTGGACTCATCAGACTCGTTCACCATCACCCCCAACCCATAGGCACTTCCGTCTAATCTGCAAGGTCTTAGTTTGCGAGTAGAGATTCAAAGAGACAAAGCCTCAGAGGAAGGAAGGCAGAAGGCAGCTGCTCTGAGCAGGCTGGCTGTGGGGGAACACGCTGTTTCAGGCAAGGCTTGCTCCCTGCCTTCCCTCCACAGAGCCTCCCTCCTTACTCTTCACCAGGCGAGTCATGCTCATCTGAGGACACAGAACTCAGAGTCCTCTCTGGGAGCAGCCCCGCCTTAGCCAGTCTTACTGTTTCTGCACTCAGCCAGAAGGGTTTCACCCAGATGCTCCTACTTAGAATGTGAAGGTGACACTGTCCTTGTCATCTCTACACATCAAGGCAGTCTCTGCACCCTTAACCTATTTTTCCTTTAAAGCACATAACTGCAGTGTTGCTTTTTATTCATTCTCCTTTTAGAACAGAAACTGGTCTAAGCCTGGTCTGTTTTATTTATCCTTTGTTAACCTATGCCTAGAAAAATACCTGACACAGAGGAGATAGTAAAAATGACTTTGAGGTCCTGACAGAAAGGCAGTATGTTAAACGCCAAACAAGCTGGCCAACATTTTGGAAAAAAAAAATCAATGCATAAAGATACTACATGTATACTTCTGTTTGATTTTGTTTTTCTGTACTTTACTCTTATCAATGCTAATAATCCTTGTTTGACTGACAAACCACTTAAAAGTATTAGCAGAAGTAACATGCACTGATATTGGATTGTTAATAAAATTGTTTTCAGAAGCATGGGAAATTCAGAACCGTTCCCTCTTATATACAGAGATATATAGAGATTTAAATTTGAAACAGACAGCTCTGAGTTTGTCACTGATAACAGTTAAGTTTGCACAGAAACCTTGTTAGTAGACAGTTAATACATGGACCACATATTAGAAAACACATTTGTCGATGGGAAAGAATATCATCTATTTTGTGGAAAAACAGGAGAGCTGCTGAGGGGTTTGCACATGCCTATAGTTGATCTAACAGTGACAGGCACATTTACTACAAGCTGAAACATTAGTGTTTCTAAAAGAATTATACAGCAATGGAAGTGGTCCATCCTGGGGTAGAGGCTAAGTTGTTTTCAAAAGATAAAGATATCTGAGATTTCCAAATAGCCATAAATTGTTCTCCAAATGTGAATAAACAAAGACAAAATTATGCTCATTAGCTGTGACTGGATCTCAGTCACACACACACACAGAGGAATCTGCTTCTTCCAAGCACGGACATGCTACGGATATTCAATAATACAAAGACCGCCAGATAATGTGATCACCTACACAATTTCAGCTATAATTAATTATACTCAACCCTGGTTTGCAATTCTAATCAATAACTACATTTACGAAAATCCATTTCCAGATGGCATACCCATTTTAAAGTTACAACAATTTACCAAAACACTGAGTTATTAATAAACCACACAGTTCAGAGCATAGGTCTGATGTGTGTCTCAGCACTTAGCTCAATTGTTACTGAAAATATTTTAATGGTAATTCTTTCATCCCTAAAGACTTCTAATCAGAACAAACCTTTCATTCAATAAATTACTTAGTATGCAGTGTTTGGGCCTGAATTTATAACTACTCCTTTGAAGTCTATTAAATTCATTCACTATAAATTAAAAGCAGGTGATTATAAATAAACAGTTACAAGACTATAAGACCATTTTATGGTTCCGACTATTCCACAGATTTAAACATAAAAATTCAACTGCATTTCAATGGCTGTCCTTCCCTGAATTTTTTTTTTTTTACTGGCAAATCTTCTTAAAAATTCAAATTCTGTACTGTAATAGGCATCACTATTATCTTTTCTTTGAGTGGAGAAACAGTTCCATTCTTGAAATACCAAATTACTAATCTCATCAGTCATTACAAACATTTGAAGAATGCACATGCCTTTTGTTAGGCACTAACAATCATATTTTAACCACCCAGTTGTTGAAAATTATGTGAAAGCTAAGGGAAAGTTTAACATTTTCTCCTACACAAACCCAGTCAATTCATCAGTGGGAAAATTATTTTACTGAAGTGTTCAGGCATGCACAAGTGGAATGCACTTTTTTTAACAGCTAAATTTCTAAACCAGTGGAAAAGTTCATCTTTATTCTAGGCACTAACTTATACTCCAGTACAATTTAACATTGTAATCAAAGGAAGTATATGAGATCTTATTTGTGAGTGGTAGATTTAATTGGTAATTTTTAAGAAAACCGTATTTCCAATATGTTAAGGAATAAGGAGTTTCACCACACAAAGCAAATTTTAACATGTATCTTTAAATTACTTTCCACTTACTCAGCTTTGATTCCGTAATCTATAACTTAAACCTCTTCCTAGTCCAATGTCTGGCAAAGAAAATTTGTAAATATGAAGAGGCACAGACTCACTTAATAATTTACAAAAAAAAATCAATGAATGATCTCAATATTCTTAAGTCATTATACAGTTAGAAAAATAAGAGAGATAACATATCTTTTTTTACTAATAATGGCACCAAAAAAAATTGGAAAGATGGAAGCTGCTTTCTTAATACATTTATCACTTATGCATGGCGCTTGGAAGAGTGTGGAAAGTCCCAAAGCAAGGTGCTTTCCCAATGTCTAAAGCATCTGCTCTAAAAATTATGCCCCTGTATCAATCAGGGGCTTAACTCTTCTACAGCAACACGCATTTGTGAATGAACAGCAACCTCTACCTTACACTGGTCAGGCAGGAGTGCTATCATCACAGCACCTGACAGACACAATTTACCGAGCCCAGGGACTAAATAAATGAACGAGTGAAAGACTGTATGAAACAAAACACAGAACAGAAATACTTCACTGTGCCATGGCAATTCTTGGAAATCGGCAACAAAACTTGGAATCTCTTGCCCTACCATTCCTAGAGAATGTTCAGGCCCACAGCTCTGGCTGGTCGCCCCAGACCTTTTTATCTCTTGCACTGCTCCAGCAATTTCCTTAGTCTGTTCTTCAGGGCTTATTGCACAACCTAGTTCCCTAAATGAAACACTACTGTTCAAGGAACATCAGGAGAAAGGTGCAGAGAAACTGATGGGGGGAGCCCACGACACTCTCAACAAACTCCAATTATAGCTACATGAGTCAGCGCCCCATCATGGAAATCCCTGCTCTGCCCAAGAGAAAAGATTCTGACTTAACGTAAAATGTTAAATTGCTATAAACCAGCACTTCCTAAAAGTGTTTCATAATTAACAGCCATTATGGAGGAAAACAATTGCGTGGCTAAAACTATTTTCTGAAATATCCAATCGGTCAAATAAGGTTTTCAGCAGAACGTCTCCAGAACTCCATATTACAAGTATTCTAAATATCCAAGAATTTTATTCAAAAAGAATTTGTCTTTACTTAGGCCTCTCCCAGGTTCTAATGAGTGACATGTTAATTAATTTTTTTTTCTCCTAACATGTAAGATCAATTTAAGCAACTTTAAAGCAAGACAACAAAATGTTTAAACTTCTGGAACCAATTTTAGAATCAAGTACAATTATACACCAAAAATACCTGATTCGATAGAGTAAAGAACTTCAGCATTTTTCCCTTTGTCCTTGTCCAAAGCTGTAACTTGCAGTACAACAGAGCCAACAGCTGCTGACTCGTAAACCCGCCCCTCATAGGAGGAACTTGTGAACCACGGGGCATGGTCATTGGTGTCACTGACATCAATAACGATCCTTGCAAAGTTTCGTTTCACAGGAACATCCTGATCTCGCACCTAAAAGAACCAACACATAATCATTTCTGCTGGAATGTTCCTTGTAATTCAAAAAAAAAAATCACTCATATAAAATGGTGGATGGAACCAAATCGTAAAATGATGAGCAGAAAGCCATACCATGACTGTGAGGACATGCTGGTGAATGGCTTCATGGTCAAGTTTTTCAGACGTGTAGAGAGAGCCTGTGGCAGGATCAAGGCGAAATTTCTTGAGACTCAATGGATCTATACTACTCTGAAGAGTGTAGATGAGTTTGTTTTTCTCATCCTTATCCGAAGCACTAATTTGCAATATTTCTGTTTCTGGAACAGTATCTTCAGGAATAACAACTTCATATTTTGATGTAGAAAATTGAGGGCGGTGGTCATTCGTGTCTATGACCTTGATAAATACCTGTGATGACAAAATTACTCTCGTAATCACAGTCCTAGTTATGATGTCTTAACATTTAAAGGGTGAGGAGGAAAATCTGATGCACATTAAAAAAATCTTTTTTTTTTTTTAGAAAAATACAAATGAGCAACAAAAATATACAGACTCTATTAAAAAAAAAAACAGTAACAAGTCTCACAATGGAGACGTTACTGGTGCCCGCTCGAGCAAATCGATGAACAGTGGGCGGACACTCTATTAAAAACTCTATAAAAATCAACAAAATTGTAACGTTATCCTAGAGTTAGGAACATACTCAGTGTTATAAACCTCACATGTACTGAAGCCCTCGTTTTGACTCCCAGCACCACAAACAATCATTAGAATTTCTTATTTGTATATTACAAATGTGAGAAAAATAATAAACATCTTTAAATTTTTGGAACTAAATTTGGAGGAAAAATATTTTATAAATTTCAGACATTTCCTTCCGAAACACAGACTTAATTTCATTTAGATCTCCACAGAAGAGATATTTCTAAGTTACTCTGGCAAACAGAGGTTCTACTTCATTAGAATTTATAGCTAATTTCCTGTATCGGATATGATCTGTATCTACCAAGTTACTGAGGCAAATATGTTACCAGGTATTATAGCCTTTATATTTCTTTTCCTAATCCTTGCGACTCTAAATTTCTGATAGCTTTTATATGTGAAAAGACATCCAGCTGAGTAGTTGGATGCAGTGACTGAGGGCATAAAATGGGTGTACGTGAAGTATTTCCTTGTACTTTCCCAGTGATGACACCAGGCAGCACCTAATGTGGTTTCACAGATTATCAAGGAAGGTTATAGAGTTCAGAGATGCTGACAGCTTCTTCTTTTTCTTTTTTTTTTTGGAGGGGTGGAGGTGATCGGTGGAGGTGGAGGTGACCACACCTAACAACACTTAGGTCTTACTCCTGGCTTTGCACTCAGGGTTAATCCTAGTGGTGTTTGGGGGACCGAGCCTGGGGAAGCTGAATGCACGGCAAATGCTCTACCTACCATACTATCACCCCATCCCATTCTGACAGTTTCAAAGAGGAGGTAAGGCCTTTTTACTGAAGGCTTTACATTGGTGGAGGAATGCACTGAAGAAGGTTCTGCAAAATCATATTCATAGTTACACACAGACCCTTAAAACAAACAAAAAAAAAGGAACTTTATTCTTCCTCTAACAAATGCCCAAACTGACCTGAGTAAATATAGAGGTGGTTCCATCTGTAGCTTCAACTGTGAGGTTATAGCTTGATTTCTGTTCTGCATCAAGAGGCTTGGCAACAATCATGGTCCCTGTGCCCTTATCTACATCAAAGTGGCTGTCATAGTTGCCACCTAGTTGAAATTAGGACAAATAGGAAAGTAAAAATAGGTCACAGGATAAAAATCTTATTTTGCAACTACTTCTTAATGATAATTACACACACAAACACATACTCCCCTCTTCTAATATGCTGAAGTAACATGATTCACAGGAGCTTTCATTTTGAGAGACAAGAAGGAACAAATAAGATCATGTTTATTAAGGCAGAATTCAGCCCTAACTGACAGAAAAGCTATTAATTGAGAGTATGCAAGGAAAAAGACTGAAGACTGAAAAATATTGCTAGTACAATACCAATGAATCATTTTCAGTTTACTTTTTTTAGAAATTCTGAGTAGCTCTTTATATCTGAGCTATATAAAATATCATTAAATAGCCCAGCTTGCCATTTAAGGCGAAGAACTCAAAAATTTTTGAGACACTCTGGGAAAACTTCCCAAATAAAATAACTGTTTTAAAATGAGTGCCAACTATTAGAAAAATTGTGGTTGTTAATGTCAATTCTGACTCTTACACATTATTCGAAGATTTTTCCCACGGTCAAAACCCAAAAAAGCTCAATGAACCAAAAGTCCCTGAACTTAGTATTAACATTATTCAAATGTATCCCCACCCCAGTATGCTCTAAATAAAATGTAAAATGCATTGAACTTGAAATACTTATATCAATGAAATGGAATCAAAAAGAAAGTATAAACATCATGATGACATTCTGACACTCAAGTAAAACAAAATATACACAAAACAAGAATTTCAATTAAATCTGAAAAAAGGATCGAGGGACGTATTACAAATCAGTATGCTTACAACTCAATGGCCATGAAGACACCATGGAAAGAAAAGGCAATGAAAGAGAATCACTGGAAACAAAGGTTTAATAGTTGATGCGTTTACTTCCGATCTCATAATCTGAGGCAAATTATGTGATCTCAGCAGATACCTTCTGCTGTACAGTTCAGGTCACAAGTCATCTGAAAGATGTGAAACACTTCTCTAGCAAGCGTGTCTCCTGGCAGAGCCCAAAGGAAGCAAGCAAGCATGGAAGGCAAGCGAAGAAAGAAGAGCAATCAATCAAACCGGTTCCAAATGCAGTTAGTGCTAAATGGTGAAGTCAGACACTGCAGAACAGCAGCCTGCTCATCTGGAACTGTGACAGGAGTTAGCAGAATGCAAACAGATTTTACTATAAGATAGAAGAGCAGAAAATCAAATTTTTCCCCTGTAAAATTAAACTGCAATGGTTTCATAGGTGCTGGTGACATCCAATAGTTTCGGACAATGGAAAAATTCCTCAGCAACTCGTGTTCAAGGGGCAAAATCTGCACCACCTGCATCCAAGGTCCTTGTAAATTAAGTCCCATCAGCTTCAGTTTGTTGAATTAACATCTGAGGGTAGTAATGTAGTGAAGGGATGAATGAGGGAAATGGGATATGAAAGTGCAACCAGTGAATTGCAAAACATACTTTTGATCGCAAATATCTCTAAAATTAAAATACTGTAAATTAATATGGGGGGGTGTGTAACTAAGATGCCAAAGAGTAACAAAATGTTTTAAATGTATGTTGGACTAGAATATGACTTTCTATGCCAAAGCTAAATTATATGATATCAAAAAAATCGACTCAGGCATGTAATTTTTAATCAAAGGGTGACTGGTTATAGTGAATCTTGCTTCCTACTGACAACTAGGTACTAAGTGAATCTTTAAAAGTTAGAATATCATTTTTCAGTTTTGTAATTGAAGTCTGTTAGCTGATTCCTTTAAAATTGCACCGATTTAAAAAAAATAAGCATTGCTGATGATTCAAAATACTTAGAATTTCAACTCCTTGACATACTTTTTAAAACCAAATTTTCATATTATTTTTACTAACATTATATTATTACTAATGTTAAAGATAAAGACTATATTTTATTTATTATATGTTCAGCCATTTTAAAAAGCTTAATGCAAGTTTAAGACTTTGAAATTTTTTTCAATAAAAATTCTGCAACTTCAAACATAATTTGCCCTCATAGATCTTATGCCCAGTTTTAAATTCTATAACGTAAGCAAAAATTAGAAAACCACAGACAGGTTCTACTGAGTTACTTTCCAAGGATGCTGAAAACTATGAAGAATGCTCACCAATGATGTCAAACCAGAGAGGTATGCCAGGACGCTCAACAGATATGACTCCAATCATATGAGCAACCGGATCACTTTCCATTACAGTAAAGCTGAAAAACGATTCTTCAAAAGCAATTGGCTCGAGGGATGGTTTAGGTTTGGCGATCCATTCAATATGGAGTCGAGTGGTTGATGACTTTTGGGGGCGACCATTGTCAACTGCCTTAATCTGTAAAATACAGAGACAGAATAAAAAGAGCAAATTAGAAGTCCAACAGAAACATCGATTGATTCAGTCTTATACAGAAAGAATGTCAAACAGTTAGCATCTATGTTTGTATATGACAGATATGAAAGAGGAGAATCTCTTCATGACCAACTGAAGAGAAAAAGCAGTAAGCAAACAAAAAAAGAGAAACTAACCCATACATCTCGCTGCCAGGTTAAAAACTGAAGCCACCTGCTGAGTATAGGTTAAGCCTTAAGTAAGAGCCTGGAGTTAAGTAATGTTAGCATGAAAGAAATCCCAAGACTAGATCTTAACTCACAGAAAGAATATCATATTCTCCAGCTGCAGAAGACTTCTTGGATGAAACCACTCCAGTTTTGGGCTCAATAAAAAACTTGCCGTGTTCATTTCCTTCTTCAATGCTGTAGGAGATCTCTGCATTGGGACCTTCATCTTTGTCTGCAGCGATAACACGATAGATTGGCTCTCGTTTGGCATTTCTTTCTCTTTCTGGTTTTTCTCGCTCTGGGAGTCGGATTTTGTAGAACTTTTGCAAGAACTGAGGTTTGTTATCATTTTCATCAAGGATTTTCACAATCACTCTTGCGATGGTCGATTTGGGGGGGATACCATTGTCTGTCACAGTGACCTGTTTTGTTTTTTGAAGGAAATAAGCAACAAAGGCTTTTTAAAACACACTGTATGAAAAGTGAGTATCAAACATCCCAGTGATAGTCAGTATTTGCAAAATGTTATACAGTTTCACAGACACATGCCATCTCCTCTCATTCTGACAGCAGCTCTGCAAGGAAGGGTAAGATGACCTTCGGGGAGGGCTCGGGGACTGACCAAGGGCTCATGAAGGACAGCTGAGAGCGCTTGCTGCCTATCCATATGGCACTGATGTACCTAGGCCACAAACATCACCAAAGTGTTAAGCAACTGCAAAGTGTTTTTAAAGCAAGAAAGAGATACACAAAGAATTTACAATAAAAGTGTTCTCTTAAACACAATATGTATCTAGAGATACTTAAAAAAATTTTCCTGGGGTCAGGGAGACAGCAAGAGTCGGGGCACATGCCTTGCATGTGTAAAAACCTGAACTCAATCCCCAGCACTGTATCCCGTAGGATGGCCCTCGAGGTCCCCTGCACTGCAGGGTGTGGCCGTGATGACCCAAGCACATCTGGACACTGGCAGTGAAATATCCTGCTGGACCGGCTAAGTATCATCATGAGTAGCCCTCCATCCCCCACTCCCGAGAATTCCTTGGGATGTATCCCCACCCCTGCCAATAGCAATAATTTAAAAAATAAGTTCCTCCTCAGTTGGGGAGCTTCCTTTCATTTCCTTCTCCTTACCAATAAATCTTTGCATTTCCAAAAAGTAAAATAAAATTTCTACATCCAACATAAAACTGCTGTATTAAAGCTTCATCAAAAAGTGTTTCAGTTATTTGATAAATGTTACTTACCAGTCATTAAATAAGTGGATAACTAACGAAAGATTAAAACATAAATGACTGAATAAATTTATGATTTATTAAAACAAACTTATTAATAAGAGACAATGTTTTACAAAATGAGCATATTAACACTGCTTCAATTCGAAACGATGTTAAGTGGAGCAATTTTTAATACTGGTGATCATTTTGTTCGGCTTGCTTCTTGTAGAGACAGTTTTGATGCTTCGTAGAGTGAACATAAACATCTAAATTTAAGAACCATTTTTTTTTTTGCAATATTTTCAGTGAAAGAAATGTGGAATAGGGCTGGAAAGGCAGCTCACAGAGATGGGGGGCACACGCCTGACATCTGAAGGCCCCAAATCTGAGCTTGAGTCATACGCTCCGCCCCTCCCAAGCACTGCTGGATATGGTCCTAGAGGACCCCACACCTCTCCCCAGAAAGGGAGGCTCAACTCCCTAAGACCCTCAGTATAAGCTTTCTGTGGATTCCGTTCAGAACCAGACGAACAGTGATTCTTGAAGACTACATCAGCGATACATCCTTATGCAAATAAAACGAATTCACCCACAAATCAAACACTCATGTTAATTAATTCAGGCTATACATTAAAAGTAATGACCTTAATAACAGCTTTCTTCTCCTCTCACCCACATCGCACCTCCTTGTTAATTTATTACGGAAAGACAGAAACATTAAAGTAGGTTGAAGTTTTCTGTGAGAACTAAACTATTTTCTTTTTCGGAGCAAGGTAGGTGTAACTCCTCTTGTCTTCTACGTGTGAATGTGTCCTGGTGGTACTTGTCAGGAGAACTTAAAAGGAGATGCTTTCCCCAAAGCACATGCCTGACCTGCTCCAACTCTCAAAATGAAACAAAACAGAAACTACTGTTTTCATTTTAACCTTGCGAAACATTTTCTTTTGAGTAGCTCTCATAAGCCTCTTGGAGACTAGAGAGGAAAATGAAAGAAATATGACCAAGGCGGACTCATGTTTTCATGCCACCAAACCACACTGGGTTTACATTTGCTTCCAATAACCAGTAGGCAATGACATGGACCATCAAAGGAATGTCAGCACCGGCTCTGAAACGGGCCCTCTCCAAGACAGCCAAGGCATGGACATAGGCCTACCCAGGAGCCTGCATCCACAAGCAGCAACCAAACTCCTGACAATCAGGAGATTCCCACTCCCCGCCAAAAAAAGAAATGCTTACCTCTAAGATGTGCTCATCCTGTTGCTCCCGATCGAGTTTTCTTGCTGTAGTTGTGATGAGACCTACAGAAGGATAACAGTCCATTAATCCTCACAAAATAAAGTCAATGACAAGACAATGTAACTGACACTATGCTGTATTTGTAAAAATCTGAGCAAAACTTTAATTTATGTGCAAGGAAAAATGATTCAAACAGGTAAGATAATTATTTTATTTACAGTAATATACTTGACACTTTATCATTCTAATGATGTTTAAACCTAATGGATAAATGACAAGAGTATATTAAGAGTGTAAGAAACTCGAATTTATTACCTTTCTATTCGTTCAGAAGTTTTCAAAATGTATATACAATTAACCAGAAAATGATTTTTTTGTTTTGGTGAAACAAAGTTATCCAGGATTCTCAACCTCATCCAGACCTCTTTTAACTACTAGAAGAATACGAATTGATAGAAATAACCTATACAGCTACATTTTTTAAAGAACTGGTAGAAGACTTACTATTGCTATGATTATCTTTGAATCATCTGCATTCAAAAATTAAGAACTGACATTACAAAAGTAAAGTAAATTTCCAAGTCGTGTTCAAGTAATTTCATTGAAAGAAAGTAATTCTCAAGGAAACCCCATGTTCTTTAGTTCCTTGATTTTTCTATCAAGCTAGGATATAGCTAGTTTCCTTCTCTAGAATTTTAATACCTACGAACTTAAAATGCCAAAATACACCAGAGGCCTGGGGAGATGGGTCAAAGAGCTGGAGAATGAGCCTGGCATGTGGGAGGTCTGGATTTGATCCCTGATGATGAACTGATCATCCCCCAATTATTGCAGGAACCATCCCCAAATACTCCTAGGTGTGGCCCCCAAACACACAGAAAACAAAATAAACAAACAATATGCTGAAATCTCGAAGACCATGAAACAGATCAAACATATTCTTTTGAGTACAAATGAAATTTCCCTACTTAACAATTCTCAAGTAGGCTGAGGCGGCACAGGTAGGTGATGATGGCCCTGATGTCAATAAAGGCAGAGAGATACACCTGGCTGTACTTACAGCTTACTCCTCGCTCTGTGCTCAGGAATCACTCCTGGTGGTGTTTGGAGGACCACATAGGGTGCTGGGGACAGAACCATTACCAGCCTTGTGCAAGTGCCCTACCCAGGCCCCTCAAGTAAAGGGTTGTTTTTCCTTCTTAGCAAGAAAACTACCCCCTACTGCCCAATCTTTGGAAGTTTTCCTACCAGGAAACACATCAAAGAATTCACTTTTAAGAACAGGCCTCATCACTGCCAGTGATTTTGTCCTATTAACCTAATTTCATCAAAACACGAATTAACAGCTATTGAAAATGGTCCTCCACATTTGTAAATTAAAGTTTTATATTTTTATTTACTCTGAAATCCTCCACGCCTTTAATGTTCCAAGAATATAAATCAACATTCTCTTCTCCATATTCAGTGAAGCAATGCTCTCTTTTCTAATGAGAATGACAAAGTTGTAACTAGATCCCGGGGTTTTTCCCAAACCACACTTTCAGATTGAGAGGTTCAAAGAAATGCTTCAGGATGTTTAATGGTGTGAAAATGTTGCTTGATGTGGCATAAACTTGATTTTCATTCGTCAAAAATCTTTCAAAGTCAATCTTTTGCGTCTCCTATAAAAAGTTTACCACCTCCTTTGAAGGTGGTTTTTAAACGAGTTCAAGAAAGACAGGAAATTACTGTAATTGATCTCATTTAACTGTCCTAATGTGACCAACAAAAAGCTATCACTGATAGTATCACCAGGGGCGACAGCTTGCATGTTCACAGCAAAACAGTATCCTGCGTCTGCGGCACACAACTATTCACTGCATAAATATACATCAGCAAGATCTGCTACAGTACACTCACCACCTTGGATTGCCAAAAGAACATACCCACATCAATCTACACTACTGCTTCAGTCACAGTCACAGTCACAGTCACAGTCCTCCCGTTGTTCATCGATTTGCTCGAGCGGGCCCAGTAACGTCTCCATCGTGAGACTTGATGTTACTGTGTTTGGCATATTGAATACGTCACGGGGAGCTTGCCAGGCTCTGCTGTGCGGGCGAGATCCTCTCGGTAGCTTGCGGGGCTCTCCGAGAGGGGCAGAGGAATGGAACTCGGGTTGGCCATGTTGGCTGTGTGCAAGGCAAACGCCCTACCGCTGTGCTATTGCTCAAATATGGCACCAAAAGTTATTTCTCAAAAAGTAAAATTTGAAAAATCTGTGTGTACCAATAACTTTCTTTGCAGAAGAACTGCAGTTGTTTATATGCTACTGATACTCTAAATTACTGTTGTGCCTGGTCAAACCCAAAATCTTGGGATCAAGTTTCCTGATGCACAACCTAGAGCAAACGTATATCCTAGGTTTGAAGTTATACGAAGGTCATGCTCTTAAATTAAAATTTTATGAACTCAAATCGGAAACTAAGTCCGTTCAAATGCTGACTATTATACTACTTCTTTCTTACCCATGCTAGCCTAGCTAACAGCTCTCCATCCTTCAGTTTAACCTTCGGGGGAGGCCTGGTACAGGGGTTCCACTGCGAAGTTCTCTAAGTTCTTAGATCAAGTTTGATCATGTGGTCTCCATGGTCTAGTCACTCATTTGAGTCTTCTCGGTATATTGCAAAGCCCATGAGGATAAACTTGACCTTTGTGGTTACATGATTATATCTGTTATCCCCCAAAACACGTAAGTATGAGAGCATATTAACATCAGCTTACATATGACAGAAAAACAGTAAACATGTACGGAGAAGCATGGTGTGACTCTTGGTCTAGGCAATGGTGGCATCCCGATTTAAAAGCACTTAATTACAAGCACAGCTCTACAGCCTTGAGAGATACAGGACCGTGCATAGGGCCTTGCACAGAGTCAAACCAAATTCGATCCCTGAAATCCCACGTGGTCCAAAGCCTCAGTAAGAGTGATCCCTGAGCGTTGAGTCAGAAGGAAGCCCTGGGCACAACTGCATGTGCCCCCCCCCCCCCCCGAAATAAACCAAACCAATGAAATAGACAAAATCAAGGCACAGATCTCAAGTCTGGAAACGTGGAGCCAGACAAATTTTGGTTATTCCACAAAGACAGAAAAGGGTATGAAGAATAACAGAATGGGTGGGTGTTGCGGTGGGTAGCTGGATAAGGGAAGAAATTATCCTACACATATGCAGATTTAATGCAATACTCATTAAAACCCTTTTGGTGATAATACATTTATTACTGACAATGAGAAAAAAGAAATAAAAAGAAAAGGGAAGAGGAGTGGGAGGGAGGGAGCAAAGGAGGGGCAGACGAGAAAACTTAGGCCAACCTTATTAAAGCAGGGAACACAGTGTTTAGTAAAACCATGAAGAAATGTAAAAGCAAAGGCGAAATGAAAACAATGTGTCCTAGAAACCAAAAGCAGAGAATTTTAAGTATAAAAAAGTCCATCCAAGTAATTCAGAGAGGCTTGGGAAAAAAAGGACAGAGTGAGAGTCGGGGAGGAAGGAAGTAGACTAGGAAAGGTATTTTCTGAAAAGGAGACTAGTTAGCATGTTAATACAGACTATTAATGAGTAACTGCACACATCAAAAGACAAAGATCTAGACCTGAGCTAGTCCCCATAATTGCCAGCAACTCCAGTGGGCCACTGAAATTTAAATTACATGCAAGCCATTTCAGGGACATGAAAGCGATTTCACAGGGACAGAAAGACTTTTTTTTTTTTTTAAAGACTAACAACACTCCTAGTCAAAAGGAATCCTACCAGAATGTCACAGGGCTTTCTCTTCCTGACTGCCATCAACAAAAAAAGGCCAACAGGAACCTGTGCACGCTGGAGAGGGCAGGCAGGGATGCAAACCCCTTAGCCAATGTGAAAAATCAGGGCTTTAATGGACTTCTCATATAAAAATGAACCCTGGAAGACAACAGACAATTTCGAAAGAAGCAGGAAGATGCACTAGGTTCTATAAAGACACACTTTATCTTTCATCAACTAACTGCATTTTATTAAATGAATATTAAATAAATGTATAAAACCGCAATATTGATTTCTATTAATGTAACAAATGCTTCCCATCCATCCTATGCTTTCCTACAATTTCACTGAGTTCAATATGTGCGTAACACTCATTTTCACCTAATTCTGCACATCTCAACCCTGCTGATCCCTCCTCTCTTGCCTACTTGTCACTGTCTTCAAATTCTTCAAGAACAGGCACAGTATCACTGACCTCTTTATATACATACCCATGCGATTACTTTTGTAAATATTAAATGCCCTAATAAGTGTACCCATTGCTTTCATTTTAAACATCTGTGCTTATCTGTAATTTTTATCCCTGAAGGGTGCAGACTTAATAGAAACAGTATGATGTTTCAGAATTGGGAGTGAAACCTGTAAGATTACCAGCCCAGTTGCTTGGGCCAAAGAGAAGCTAAATTGTTCCAAGTTTACTAGTAGGTCATTAGCAAAGCCAGGATTAGAATTTAGTTTTCCTAAAGCCCAGAAGTGAGGTCTGTCTGTGTTGGTGTTTTTGGGTTTTGTTTTTATTTCCAGTCTTGCCCCATCACATCACAAAGCTTGATTGCTACATTATGGTATTTCAGTTCTCCATAAAATCTAAACTTTGACTTACATGGAGTGGTGTAAGGGGAAATTCCAGCAAGAGTTAATCATTATGTATTTAATAGGTCAAAAAAAAAAAAGCATGTCAGAAAACAGAGTGCGCAAAAATATCCCCCAAAATACATGTTCAAGTCATAGTTTTTGTAAGTGGTGTGTTATCTTTGTTGGAAGAGGAACACTGTAAAATTAAAAGGACAAAGAAATTTCCCCAGGTTGGGAAAAAAATCCTTTTCTTTAGACTGGTACTATTTAAATGTATTGACAGGTTGAGGTAGCAGATACAATATCTGTACTACCAATTAGCAGAGAGAAACCCTACAAATATACGTGAAACTAAAACGAATTTTGCTGTGTTTGATGAAGCATTTTAAAACTAAAACAGCTATTCAAAACTTACACCGCCACTT